AGGATGAAAATTAAGCTAAAAAATGACATAAATTGCAAAAAAAAAAATAAATTGTAAAAAAAATAAACTACAAAAAAGGATAAAAATTAAGCTAAAAAATGACATAAATTGCAAAAAAAATTAATAATAAATTGCAAAAAAAATAAACTAAAAAAAAGGATGAAAATTAAGCTAAAAAATGACATAAATTGCAAAAAAAATAAATTGCAAAAAATAATAATAAACTGCAAAAAAAGGAGGGGAAGACCTTTAACTGGCGCCGAATAAGACAGCAGGCGGCGACGGAGCTATGTGCACCTAGACGAGCTGGAGTTGGAGCTGTGGGCGAACGAGTTGTGGGCAAATGAGCTGATAGCGGACAAAAGAGCTGGGGGAAAAGGGGATGAGCTGCAGCGGACAAAGGAGCTAGGGGAATGAGGGCTGGAGCTGTAGCGGTTGAGGGATTTATGGGAATGGAAGCTGCGATGAACGTTTTGGGAACTGAGGTCAAGTGAGGAAGCTGAGGGTTGGCGGTAAACGAATTTATTAAACACATACGGCGACAGGCGTTAATAACGCCTTCACCATATGTAATAATGGACTTACAGCGACAGGCATTTATCACGCCTGTCACTGTAAGTTTGCCTGATTTTAGGCATAATCAATATGCCTGAAATTAAACATATTTAATTTATATATATATATATAATGAATAAATATTTGTAAAAATTAAAATAATCCTAATTTTATTAATAGTTTAAATTTAATATGTCTAAATTCAGACACATTTAATATGTCTGGATTCAGGCATATTAAAAATTTAAATAACTAAAAAAATTTATGTAAAATTTTTAATTATTAATTAATTATTATTTTTTACAAAATTGAGGTATATTTAATGCTTGAATCAGACATACAGCGACAGGCCTTTATCACACCTGTCGCCGTAAGTTTGCCTCATTTCAGGCATAATCAATATGCCTGAAATTAGACATATTTAATTTATATATATATAATGAATAAATATTATATAAAAATTAAAATAATCCTAATTTTATTAATAGTTTAAATTTAATATGTCTAAATTCAGACACGTTTAATATATTTAGATTCAGGCATATTAAAAATTTAAATAACTAAAAAATTTTATGTGAAATTTTTAATTATTAATTAATTATTATTTTTTATGAAATTGAGGTATATTTAATGCCTGAGTCAGACATACGGCGATAGGCATTTATCACGCCTGTTGCTGTAAGTTTGCCTGATTTCAGGCATAATCAATATGTTTGAAATTAGATATACTTATGGCAACAGACGTTAGGTTTCAAATTTCAGGCATATTAATTATGCCTGAAATTAGACATATATACTTATATATATATATATATATATAATGAAGAAATATTTATAAAAATTAAAATAATCCTAATTTAATTAATAGTTTAAATTTAATATGTCTAAATTTAGACACATTTAATATATCTGAATTCAAGCATATTAAAAATTTAAATAACTAAAAAAATTTATGTAAATTTTTTAATTATTAATTAATTATTATTTTTTATGAAATTGAGGCATATTTAATGCCTGAATCAGACATACAATGACAGGCATTTATCACGCTTGTTGCCGTAAGTTTGCCTGATTTCAGGCATATTAAATATGCTTGAAATCAGACATACTTACGGCGACAGACGTTAAGATGCAGGTTTCTGATTTTAGGCATATTAATTATGCCTGAAATTAGAAAAATTAAATTTATTTATATATTTATAATAAAATATTTATAAAAATAAAAATAATCTTTGTTTTAAAAATAATTAAAATTTATATGTTTGAATTATAAACTGAGACATGTTAAATATATATATATATATATATATTTCCTAATAATTTAAATTTAAATATATATATTTCTTAATAATATAAATTTAAAATTTAAATTAATAATTTATTTTAATTACGTTATTTGTTTAATGGCTTGTCAAATCATTTACGGTGACAAGTGAATTGTATGTCTGTAGCCATAAATCTTACATTTTTTATCTTAGTTACATTTTTGCCACTTTACCTTATTTTACCATAGTTTTTTTATAAATTGTGGTGAAAAATATGTAGTTAAAATTATATTTTATATTAGTACATTATAAAAGGTATACAAACTTTGGGGAAAAAATCCAAATTCTAATTAAACACATGTTCAATAACAGCAATAAATTTCCATGATCATCAAGAATCCAGACCTTCTGCAAGGACAGATGGATGATGTAATGAAAGTAGAGCTAGGTTTAGAGATCTTGTTTAAATAAGGATTCAAGCTTTAAGAATTAATTTTTTTTTAAAATAACTAGCCTTGAGGACCTGGCCTTGATAAGTCTTGTAAAATCGAGCTTGAAATGCCCTTCAAGCCCTATTATATTATTATTAATTTTTTTTAATAGAACACGTGTTTGAAGTCAAGAATGACCTGCTTCCCTAAAGCCCTGATCCTATACATGTTATATTATTATTAATTTTAATTTATTCTAAAATTGATTTGATATAATTTAATAAATATTACTATACAGTATAAAATTTCTAATATTTTTTATTTTTTTATAATTATTATGTTTGTGTATTTATAAAAAATAAACTTTTTTTAACCAAGATTTAAATTTTCTTACTAGACTTTTAAATGTGTATTGTTTAATTTCTAAAAGATTATGAGAATTTTTATTTTTTTAATTTTAAAATATTTTAATTAATTTATAGTGCTTAATTTTATTTTAATTTTTTATTTTTTTTCAGAAGATGGCTTACAGGCTCGATCCTGAGCCTTTCAAATAAGGGTTTCAGAAAATGGGTGAAAAATAAAAAATTGAGCTCAATGGCTGGGCTTATAAAGGCTGAGCCGAGCTGTTTTTTCAACTCTAAATAAAAGGGGTCAAATTAAAAATAAAACACGAGGTAAGAGGAAAGTGTGGGGCTAGCCCCCTCAAATCTATCTATATTTATATATTTATAACTATTTGTGGGAGTGATCACTCAAGAATAGGTGAGACAAGAAATAAGCAAAATTAGCATAAGCATGTCATATATTAACTTAAAACTTTAAAACTGATATTTATGAGTCATTTTTTTTATTTTATATTATTTATTAAGCATAATTTTTTTTGTTATAGAACTTTTCACATCGTTTTAAATCTATTTAAACTTAAATATCTTAACACCATTGACATCACTACATTAAGTAGTGAATCTATTTTAATTATAGATTTAATAAATGGTTATGATTAGGGAAGAGGAGAGAAAATGATAAAAGAAAAATGGAGAGATTCCACATCCCTTGTGAAACCTTTTACAAATACCTTGTGTAGTTTCATCAAATTACATGCATCACGAACAACATTAACTAATTATTACTGAAATTGTTATCTTCACTTGAAACTCAACCAAATCTTGATCTGAATATTTGAAATCATTATTTGGATTACAATTGTTGAAACCCACTTTCAAGACTTAGAAGCCTCAAGCGTTTGCATCTAGTTTGATAATTTACTTACTCTGGTCTCATATTTTAAAAAAACACTAATTAACTCATAAGAATTAAGAAAGATGTTTAAAATAAATTTTTAATAAAAAGAAAAATAAACTGCATTAGTTTTTTTAAAAAAAATTGCTTAAATTATATAAATTTTCTTTTTATTTTTTTCTTAAATCCTATTGAGCAGGATATTTTCTTTTATGGTTGTAACTTTTCTAAAATCTTTCTTATCAGTGTTTACTTCTGGCGAATTCCCAAATGGAAGATTCTGGAATTGGCCACCTTTTTGTGCCCTAACTCTTTAATCAATTTAATTTGTCTTTTTAATAAGGAAAAAAAAAACTTTGCTGAAAAAGAGTAAATTACGGACATCTTACCAACTCAATATCTATCATTTTTACATGGGATTATTATATTAGTTTTATATAACGTAATATTTAAAATGATAGATTTAGATTTAAATTTTAAATTTTAAATCTCAGTTTTTATAGTAGGGAAAACTAAGCATAATTTAAATATTATATTTAAAATTCAGTATTTAAAATTATTCATTTAGATAGTGTAAAAATCTTAAAAGAAAAATAGAGATGGGATGACCTTTGAAGTAAAAACAAAAAAATTGAGAATAACAAGTTTAAATTTATTATTTAATTGGCAATAAAAAGAAACAAGAGGTGAGAAAAGAGGGGGAGAGACGAAGGTATCAAATATCAATGATAAAAATATGAAGAGAATGTGAGTACTGGAGTGGCTTAAATTTCAAATAAAATAAAATTTCAAATGACTAAGATATATAAATAATTTAGAATCATAAAAAATTATAATAAAAATTTATTTGGATTTATATCAAATTTAAATTCATAGATTTTTATGTATCCAAATGAGAGACTTTATTTAAATTAAAGTCCTGATTAATCAAAACATAATATAAGAAAATTTAATAGATCATATATAAACAAAAATAAAATTAATTAAAATTTTTTAAAATAATTTTATGAAAAATTAATACACACACTAATATAAAAAAAAGGAAACTATATATAAAAAGATAAAGAGATTGCATCAGAATTATTCACAAACTGTGAATATTGTGAATTATTTCGCACGACTGCTTTAACTTTAAGAAATATTCCAAATTGCGTGATTCAATATCAATATCAATAATAATATAAAAAAATCATATTAGTTTAAACTTATGGAAATAATTATCTTTATTACTTATTCGGTCGAGCCTTTTTTTTTCGATTGCTCAAGGTATTCACCGTCAATAGCAGTGACTAATTCTTTCATCACGGGGTAACGGCTGGCCATAGAGTGCTTTCCATTCACATGAGTGAGGAATTGAACCTCCCACCACATACTTAAGAGATGAAGTGAGATAGTTACTACGCTACACTCACGTGGTTTATTCCATCGAGTTATTGGCTGTCAATGCTTTACTCCGAAGCCCAAATGTAGCCCAATCTTGTTTTTGAACCTCCTTAAAAAAAAGGGGGGGGGGGGCGGGGGCGGGGAGCGCTGAAGCAAACCCTAATACATAATAGCCGGGCGCCTCCACATCGGTTTGATTCTTGAAATTTCTGATATTCTTGGCCGCTAAGCTCTCCCCTTCCTCCCGTCGACATGGTAACCTTCTCTATCTCCGTCGACTCTCAATTTCTGTATTATTGACTTCATCCTGTTTCGTTTTACTTATCAAAATGCCAAGTGGGGTTCATTTGGAATAATTCATTCGTCAAGTGATTGAATATATTGTGTTGTCTCGTCGTAGCTGACGATGGATGTGATTGAAGGCATTTTAGATTTACCATGTTTTTGTACTGGTTGTATAAGTTCGCTAGTGGCAAGGTATCGACTGAAAGGAAAAATCATTGGTTTGTGCCCGAAGTTCAGAGGTTCAAATTCAATGCCTAATAAAAATGGATCTATAATTTCGAACTACCAGATAAAAATTGACAATTGGTTATCTCTGACACCATGAAAAATCGGTCTCTCAAATGCCATGAAGTCACAGTAGCCTGGAGTTTTTCATCTTTGATTTCCGTTTAGCTCAATTTGATAACCTCAATCGATTAACAAGAAGTATGAACATTGTCTTCTTTTTTTGTGCCGTTCTGTTTATGCAAGAAGTCCTGAAATATTTATTATGCATCATTTTATTGTTTATCCACTTACCTTTAGCTGAAAATTTATCTTGGCATTTATTATGTGGTGAGCTTTTTTCCTTTTCAATCTGTTATTAAACTGTTCCCTATCAGTAGTGGTGTTGCTGCTACTTGTCCTTTATTGGGATTTCAGTGCCTGAAGCTCACTTTGCAATGCTTGTTTAGGGTTGATCCTTTTCAATTTTTTTTGACATCAATTGGAAATTAGTGCCCTACTAGCATGTTGAAACGTTTTAGTTGTTTACCCTGTTATTTCATTATAATCACCATAAGGTATTGCGTGTGTGGGAAAGACTTTAGTTCAGATATGAATCAGGAGTTAAGAATTTTTTACTTCTGTTGATAGTGTTACTGATTTATGCATATATAAGAACATGCAATGAGACAATTTTCCTGCAGGTGAACGTTCCAAAGACCAAAAAGACTTACTGCAAGAGTAAAGAATGCAGGAAGCACACCTTACACAAGGTAACACAATACAAGAAAGGGAAAGACAGCCTTGCAGCTCAGGGTAAGCGCCGTTATGACCGCAAACAGTCTGGATATGGTGGCCAGACAAAGCCTGTCTTCCACAAGAAGGTATAGTCAAGTTGCTGTTTCTGTGACAAATTGTTGAGGCATGCTAAATGCCCTTTTTTCATATAATTTGCGTCCCACAGTGGTTCGTGAGTTAGTTATCTGTGACTTGTTCCTAATTTAATGTGGTTCTCATTGCTTTTTATTACTTAGGCAAAAACCACCAAGAAAATCGTCTTGAGGCTGCAGTGTCAGGCGTGCAAACATGTATCCCAACACCCAATCAAGGTTAGTAGATCATAGGATGATTATGTTTTTGTTATGAGTCAGAATTCGTCAGTGATGGCTAATTCAGTATTATATTTTGCAGAGATGTAAGCATTTTGAGATTGGTGGTGATAAGAAGGGGAAGGGAACCTCTCTGTTTTAGGTGGAGAAATAGGATCTGCTGGCTTTTGCTATTATGTTTGGCTTTTCTTTTTTTTTTTTTCTTTTAAAGTATGGGACATTGTCTTCGCTTACATTTCTTACATGTAACGTAGTGTTTTCACTAGATTTTTTGGGTTCACTTAACTGAACCTCGGTCAAATCTGCAGTCAATTTTGATACTGTTCCTCTTAAAATTTGAGGTTTTGAATGGAAGATGTATTTTCCTTTATTTTGGTCTTAAATGAAACGGTCTCTGGGTCTATTTCGTACCAGAATGGTTAGAATTAAAATCCAATGTGATATACGTAAATTATTCCAAGCCTAAACAAGTTTCATGATAATTGAAGCTGAAAGTTGTTTACACTTTAGCTTAATTGAAGTCCTGCTTACTTTTGTCACTACATTTCTTATATTTGCGGGTTTGAGTGGTCTATTACTTTCTGCTCATAAAGAAAGTGTTCAAAGTGTTCAAGATGCTCCATATAATTTGGGAGTGTTCTGATGCATTTATAATTAGACTCAATTGCTTGTTTTAAGCATAGTATGGAGATGAGAGTTAATCTATTCGGATGAAGTAGTTTTGATCACGGTCAGACTTCAGTTTTGATCGTCAACTCTTAAAACTAGTGTGTTGATCGATTAAGTGACTCGTTCGGTTTTCATTATCTTGTTTTCTGAGTCATTTATTTAAGATGGAGGGTTTCTGTCACTAATGTAAATTGGCATACACCAGGGGAAAAAAAGAGTGAACAAGCGCCAATTGAAATTTTTTTTGGAGTGATCATTTAGTGGCACTATTTAATTACACTGACCTTCATCTTGTTTAGTCCGCTGGAAAGTTTTCAGACACTTAGGAAGCAGGAGAGTGGTGTTAATATGGTACAAACTAGAGAAAATTCATCCTAGTTAGTGATAGTAGTTTCCAAAGCTTGTTGGGTAACCTCCCATGTAATTACTAGGTTGCATCCTTGTCATCCCATGTCCTTGCATGCCATCTCTTGCATATTGTTGCCACAATAGTTGTTCCTCCATCAACAATCTCTGTTTCTTCTCCATCTCTGACATCTGAACGTATGCTGGAGGTGCCACAGCCATTGAAGCAGCAAATGGGTCTGCATTATTAACCCATCCTGAAGAATCTGACGGTGGTGCGGGCAAGGCAAGCATCGCCGGCCTTCCAGTTGAACCTTGAGCCATGCTGCTGGCACTTCCGGCTCCGTAGTTATACCCTTGAATGGCTGCATTTGTAGCTGCTTGGTTGTACATCCCATCCAACAATAGTGTATCAAGTCCACCTGCTAATGCTGGCTTCTGGTTTGACAATTTGCTAGCTGATTCCACCAATGTTGTTTCCCAATCTGAACCATCCTCAAAAGCATGCCATGGAAGAGCTAGTGTGGTACCGGAAGCCCCGGCAGTCGTCGGCCCTGCACCGTCGAACAAAGCCAAGGCTAGTTTATCCTCATGTTCTTCTCTTGTCACCGTGTCATCATCTCCTAAGTGCAACAAGTCACCTTCTGTTTGCACAACTTTTGGTTCCTCCATTTTGGGTTCTTCTACTGGTTCCACTATTGTCTCTGGTGGTGGTAGTGCTTTGATTGCATCCATATCCTCTTGTGGTGGCTCTGGCTTTTCTGGTTCTTCAATCTTCTCTTCCTGATGTTTAGCATTCCTTCTAGACTGTGCCGTATCGGATTTCTCTCTGATGAAATCATCCATGACCTCGAGTTTCTTCGAGGTAATCCTTTCGATGTCCGGGAACTCCGAAGAGCGCGCGATTCCCATACTCTTGTTCCATGCATAGAAGAGATCTAGCTCGTCATACTGCTTTCCGACACGACAAAAAATGTCATAAACCTTGCTGCAATCTTGAACCTCCAAGTCCTCGAAACGATCGATCATTATACCCAAAATTTCTGTCATATCATAATATATTAGGAAACTCTCCTTCAATATAGGGTAGAGAGCCACCATCACAATTCGATGGTTCTTTGCTTCACCTGTGATAGCAAGAAGAAGAATAATAAGCAGCAGTCATACATACACATATCAAATGCATGGTGAGGCAAAGTTGCAAAATGTAATATGAAATACAAACAAACTGAACCTGTGGGACGACAGGCCAAGAATCGCTCGAGCAATAACTGTAAATGTTGCATCTTAGAGAACATTGCCTCTGTCCTCATCTCCTGCAGTGGCGTAGACCTCCCCAAGCTTTCTGATCTATTCTTCTCTATGTCTCTGTCCCTATAGGTAACTATATATCTATCCCTGTTGTCCCTTACATCCTCGTCTTCATCCTCGTACCCAAATGAGCTTCTCCTTCCTCTCTTGTTCTGCATCTTGTACTCCAACCTCTCATCCAAGTACAACGCATACATCCTCACGAATGCCGAGAAGTCCCACGAGTTGGCCGTAGAGCTGTCGCGGAAGTCCGACATGTTGAGGAGGCGAGTGCCACGGCGGGTGGCGAAGAAGATCTCCTGCTCATAGGCGGGATCGCCTTCTTGGAGAAGACGTTGGATGAGGACGAGGGTCTTCAAGGCAACGGTCCAGCTCCGAGTGCGGCTGAGACGGCGGGAGATGGCGGAGATGCAGGCACTGATGTTGGAGCGGGAATAGCTTGTTAAGCTGAGGATCTCTCTGATGTGCTTCTCGTCGGCGGGAGTCTCGTTGTGCTTGGTGGCCTTGACTATGGCGACGTCGAGATCGGCGACGGAGGTGGTGCTTCCGACCTTGGCCAAGCCGATGCTTGTTTGATCCTTCACTGCTCCTAGTGCCTCTTTCCAGATCTTGCTCGTCATTTGTTAACGTGGTCACGATCTATATATACGGGCTATGGTGGCTTCTGGATTTCGTAGAGACGTCTCCTGCAACCCAAAAAAAAAAATCTTATCAACTATCAAGGAAACGAAACAGTGTGTTCTTCGATTGCAAAATGAAATGAAAAGATAATTTTGAACATAAAAAGTTATCTTGGGTTCAGCGTGTGTTTAATTTTCAGTTTGGTAAAAATCCTCTTACATATTAAAAGTTGATTTGTTAAAACTTCATTTATATTTGGTTTAGAAAAATTAGTTTGAGAAGCTGAAAATTTTTTTAGATAATAGAAGAATGAGTTGAAATTAACTTCAATTCATGTTTTAAAAGTTAAAAGTAAAGCTGCATGTGTTAAATGAACTTTTAATTGAATCTCAAATGGACTTTCAAATCAATTCAATAAATATTCAAACAATATTTTCATTAACATATCAAAAATAATAATTTTCAAATGAAATAAAAATTGATATGAAAATAATTATTTTAAATTTGAAAAATTCGTTAACTGAGACAGGATGACTTTTTTGCATTTCTCATAATACAAGTTCACAGAAAACTGTGCAGTAAGACAAAATCATAAAATGTCCGAAGTCATAAGAATTTTACATTATAGAGGCAAATCATCTCTTGCAAATGACTCGAAAGTCATCTTGCGGAGGGTGCAAATGCTTACACCCAAAAAAAAAAAAAAAAAAGATGATAGCAAGGCTCCCATTCTTTATTAGATCAAACAACAAAAAATTTATTTAAGAATAAAAATGACATTCATCTAATGAAAAGAGATATGATCCTGGTTGAATAAATAATAATTACCGTGAAAAATCACATTATTCACAAGCCATGAACAACAAGTTTCTCGCAAATTTCATGCCCATGCACGATTCTCATTCTAATTAAGCAATAATTATTATTTCTTAAAACTTATTTGTCTCCTTGAAACAAACATTACATAACTTACAGAGCCAAGGCATTCACAGATTTTACCCTTTAGTCAGAAGCTATGAACAAATTACAGAACAAATCAATTGTACGAAGCCGTGATGAACTCGGTACGTGTCATCTTAAACTCCATGCAAATGCAAGAGACTCGCTCTAATTCGAATTCAAAGTGCAGAAAATAGATAAGATACCTGAATTAATGTAAAAGGACTAAGGTGCCATGAAAATCACTCCTGTATTATTCATGAATCGTTTTGCATGCAAAGACCCAAACTCAGAGCAATTCCCAAGTTTTTTTTTTCCTCCCTTTCTGTTAATTTCAAACCTTAGAGGAAAGAAAGAAGAAGGAAAGAGAATCGAATTGTTTCGATATTCACAGCTCTTTCCCTTTTTTCCTTTCCTCTGTTTTTTTTTTACTTATCGGGTCAAAGCATTATTATTTTTTCCTTCTCGTTAATTTCAGATTATCCAACCATATGACCCTCTTTTTCAGCATTAAAATTTGGGAATTTTGTGAGATATTCTTGTCTTGTTCTTCTATATTTAGCACTTGGGAGAGACATTTTTTGTTTCCCTTCTGACCTTTTCAAATGCTTCAAGCTAAAGAGTCTTTAGTTTTTCCCCCCTTTCTAATTCATGGTCAATATCGCTCAAAATGATATCTCTCTAGTTCTTTATTATTTTCTATGTTACATAATTATGTTAAATATCAGAACAATCAAATTTAAGAGTGAATTAATTAAAAAATTAACTTTTATGTCATTTTTTCCCAAAATATTTAAAATATAAAATATTCACAAATTCTTATATATGTGTGCTAAATAGAAACTGAGAAAAGTTGTCAGCAAATATTGGTTCAGTTTTTTAGGATTTGGCATATAATAAATTAAAATTGTGGATTCAAATTTCACTGTTAATATGATAACTTTATTAGTGGATGAGTTATAAATACTAATTTCAGATACATGATATGTCATCATCCTGATAAATTCTGGATACCCAATTCACTCAAATTTTATTTAAAAAAATAAATTGAGAACAGTTATTTCTTAATACCGAAGATAGTAAGAGTACAAACCCTAATCAACATGCTGCTGTGTCTGGAAAATACCAGCGATTATAGGTATTGAGTTTTTTTAAGCCTATGGATTGCTTTTGGTACAACAAAAAATGACCTTTTATGTCAATTATTTTGGACCTTTTATATATGTTATATTGTACATAACAAAAGTATAATTTCTTTTAGCTTTTTTACTGAAACGCTACGGAAAAAAAAAAGAAATTCTTTTTATGTTATAATTTGAACATTTTTTCTCAAGATACTACAAATAAGCCAATTGCCTTCTGCCAACCCAATTTTAGTTTGTCAAAAATGTTTTTTATTAATATATATATATATATATATATATTGAACTTGGCTTCATGGAAACCAATTTCAAAGAATAAAATGTCATAAAGTCAAATCGACCTTTGTCAATTTGATTTCACTTTAATTTTTTTTAAAAAAATTTGTTGTAGCTACATTGTGGACGTGACACCGCTGTAGCTCTAGCAATTTAGACTTGACATTGCATTTGCCCAAGAGAATACATGCAACGCCAAGTCTTAGCATACACAAGAGAATATATTCTTCGCAACTTCGTAAACTAGTAGACGAAAAAGAATCAGATTCTTATATGTGTGAAAATGATCTGCATGTGAGATTATAGTGTGTAATAATTTTTGTCAGAGACATGTACAACTTCAGTTAGCCACCGTTGAAAATAAACAGGTCGAATTGTGATAAACCGATTTTAATTTCATGTTTTCATTTTTTTTCTTGTGCCTTCAATTCTGCCTTTGCTCCATTTTCTCCCTTGTTTGTCTTCTTTGCTCCATTTCCTTGAAGTCCAATAAGTGTTGCACCTCTCAAAGATCTTTGACATCAAATTTGAAAGGTACACAAGCACAGCTATATTAATTCCCATACCCAACTAACTTAAATTTTGTTAAAAAAAAAGAAATTGAGAAAAGTTATTTCTTATTCGCGAAGATAATAAGACTAAACCCTAATCAGCCTCTTGCTATGTCTAGAAAATACCAATGATTACAAGTATTGAGCTTTTTTTAAGCCTATAAATTTTTTTGGTACAATAGGAAATAACTTTTTATAACGATTATTTTGAACATTTTACAGATTATGTTAAACATAAACAAAAGTATCAATTTTTTTTATATAAAAAAGTTCCCAATGTTGGACTATATACTACTTAACTTTAAATTTAAATGGTATTTCAAAATCGAACCAAAGTTAGGCCCAAATTCAATGCAGCCATTAATAAATATACAGTAATGAAAAAAATTATCAACAAGATTAGTTCTGTCAAATAGTTGTTTTTTTGGCGGTATTATGGAAGCCCAAAAAACACAAAAACCACAATCTACCACAAAATAGTACAAGAATAATTCATGATTACTAAAACACCATATGTTTAAAAAATACAACGTTTAAACTATACATATAATAATATTAATTAAAAAAAAGCATAATCATCAACTTAATTATTTATACCCTCTTCAGCCTAGAAAACTTGAGAGTAATATATATAGTGGCGAGCACTAATTGTATAGATTTCATCTTTAATGAAGTTCAATTAAATGAAGAACATGTACGCCTAATCTGTCCAAGAGAACCAGTCTTGACTCCAATTTGGCCCATCTTCACAATAGAATCAACAAACTCAGATTCAAAAGATGGAACAAACATTGGACCAAAGTATGAGTTTATGACAGTCCTTGTGTCTTCATCATCGGCTAACCTTGCATCAGATTCCAGCACTGCAAATCCTGCCCTTATGTTCTGCAATATGTGCTTGTCGAATTCCCTTTCACTCCCATCGTCCATCGCCAGCCGGACGTTCACATCACCGTTCTCCGGACACCTCGACTTCAACACCGGCAGGAATTCTGGGCTGATCGATGGGTCGGATCCGCCGCCCGGCATGAAATTGTATAGTCTTCTGGTCATGAAGAAGCAGGCTGTGGTACCTATTGTATGAGCAGCTGTTTTTTTAAAAAAAAAATTAGTGAGTAATTAATTACATGTGAAGAAAATAATGCAATTAAATTAAACAATTGTTTAAACGTGTAACAATTTTGTTGTCTAATGTTTAATTTTCATACATAAATCAAGATAATTATGAATATATATGCAAAGATATGTAAGTAATTGCGAGAACAATACACATCTAGGGGGAAAAGAAAGATAAAATTAGAAGAAAAATATATTTTTAATATATATTGTTTGATTCAATTATTGATTTAGTCCTTCTAATTTTTTAAAAAATTACAAGCAAGTCCTCATAATTGTTAATTTTGGAATTCGATTCATGTTAAAATTCTGTGAATATTTTATTAGATTTCATGTATACAATTATTTTTGCATTATATATACCATTTAAATATGCACATTGTGGACAAAAATATGAAAAAAAATAACTTAATGCAAAATCAAATTAACTTACGCACATGACAAAATATTACTGTACTTAAATACACTCCTCCGTTCAAAAATATGAGATATTTTTAACCGAATCTTACTCTCAATAAAGTAGTTACTTACTTTTCAACTAACCCTATCTTTTTATATTTATTTTTGTTAAACACCTTACAATAAATATAAAGTCATTATCAAGATACTTTTAAAAAAAAATGATTATACCTTGAAAGACTAAAAATATTTTACATTTTTTAACATCCAACTCTTCAAAAAATGCTTTACATTTTTAAACAGAAGAGTATGTTTTTATACTATGAAGACTAAATTAGAATTTGACTAAAACTATAAAAATTAAAAGTGTGATTTTCATTTAATAAAAAGTAAACTCTTGAATATCGTTTCTTACTCAATGTAAAAAAATAAAATAATAAATAAATCTATGGCGCCAGATGATTTATTAGTTCATGAACGCAGACGCTATGCAACAAAACTCACTTTGATGGATATATCTAGATACGATTAATTTAAGTAATTTGCTTGTTATAACTAAAATGAATTTAATTAAAAAATCTCCATAAGTAGATGAAGTTGTTGACAAGTAACTTGTCATCGTCACATAAATTAATGTTTCATTTTATACGTTTCCTATTAAAATGATGAAGTCTCACATGAGATTCAATGTCTTAAAATTTCCAAAGTTTCGATGAATGTAAGTAATTAATTGTTCCAATTAGTAAATATAGAATAGTGTGACTAGGACTAGGCTATGTGTCTTTGCTTGGCTAATGTGTGCTATTTTTCTTATTTTGGCTAAATTCATATAACTTTACCTTCTTAAGACAACCATGATGTTACTAACTTTGCTTGTCAAAAATGGAAATGGCAAGAAAAGGACACATTCCAATTTATGAATATGAATTTTTAAGTTTACATTATTTTTTTAGTAAGAAACTTTTATTCCTTAAAACCATTTTCAATAACTGAGATACTAACTAGCTAAAATCTGTAGATGATTTTGAGATGAATTTTTCTAATAACAATTTTTTTATATATCATTTATTAAACGCAATTCTATTTCACATGTGATATCTTTCTTCACAATATATATATATATATATATATAATCAGAGAGAGAGAGAGAGAGAGAGACATACCACTGAGAAGGACAAGGTCTTTAGGAGAGAGGCCTTTGTTTTGGAACTTGGATTTGAGTTGGAATATAGAGTCAGACACGTCAGGCATTTCATTTGCCAGCGATTTGTTGGATACCAATCCATCTCTCCTACCCGTCGGGACCCCATATGATGGCCCATTTGCCTTCATTTCAACAACTTTCAATTTAATAATAATAATAATAATAAATTTAAATATAATAACATTATCTATATAGAAGTATGAGAATTCTTGTATTAAAAGAAATTTGGGATCATTGTTATAGCCTGAATATCAGCTTCAGGCCGCAGAAATTACTAGTAACTTTCATTTGACCAGCACGTTTATCCATAATTCCTTCGTTTTTTTTTTAATAGTACATTTTTGTGGAGCTGATCAGTTTTCTTCTTCAACTAAGTGCCATGATATCTTGTGATAAGACAAACACACGACGGTGTGTTTTTTGGTGTTAGATATTAGTCTTCTTTTAGGGGAGTTTTATGGTTCTAAATATAAATTATTTGCTTTATTTTAGATACAACATTTCTTTCAATTTTCCAGGAGGGATAAGATATTTTTGAATAAAATTTTACATACCAATAATCAATAAATATTATTAAATACGCTCAACAATTTTATTTTTTTTAAATATAAATATAAATATTTAAAAATATCATTCATTTAATAACTTTAAATCTACATCTAATTATTAAAGAGAGAAAATAGATAATATTATAATAAGTCTATTTAATAAATTTTAATTTTTTTAAAGTATCTTATATCGTGGAATGTAGAATTGCATTCAAAAGTATATTTAAGAAATATTTATTTTTTAAATTTATAATATTTATGAGGTAAAAATGAAAATCAAAATAATTTGTAGATTATCCAATTTGTAGATTATCCCAATGATATAACTAATTTTTCTTAGTTCCTCCTAATACTAATAAGTAAGTGAGGGATAATAATTTCAATGATAGTACATATACACTCCGTTCTAATTATAATATAAATGACATCTTTTAAAAATTTTACTTAATTCAAAATATATAATACGGCATTAATTAATTTATTTTTGTAATTATTTTTGTTTCCAGAATGGTGGAATATTATCAATATGTATTAATATTTAGTGGTAAGATGTTAACGACGTCCCGGCGGAAGTAGCAAGAAATGAATGAAGGGAAGAGTACCAAGACGACGGCGTCTCTGGCAGCTAAAGCGACAATGTCAGCGCACGAAACGACACCAGGGCATGTCTGTTCCAATTCAGTCTTGGCTCTCTCTATCACATCAAATCCTCTCACTCCTTGATGCCCGAACGCATTCTTCTCCGATTCCTCCCCGTTCTCTATCAGAATCGACCCATCACATCCCTACACATCACACACACACACACACACACATTCATTCATTAACAATTCACTCCAACCAAACACATCTTAAATTAAAACTGATCAGTATACAGTATACACCACACCGCAACGAAGCAGTCATGGAAGTGAAGTCTGAGCAAGATGGCCGCCATGTTCGGGTCCGAAGAAACGGCGTCGTTCACCACGCTTCTCACAATGGCCTCTGTGTCTGGGCATGTTTCTGAGTAGAAACCCACTCGAAGCTGAAGACTCTGCGCTTCACAGCTCAGCATCGTCACTGAGACGATGGCCAGCATGATGAGTGCCTGAAGAACGAAGGTCTTCATCATCAATGGAGGATCCATCACTCCGTGCTTCTGATTGCAGAATGAAGAACGCAACGTACTAATGATGGTGATGAGGAGGAAGAGGAAGACGATGGAGCGTGAAGGAGAATAAGTGAGATCAGTGAGAAGTGATGATAAGAAGCACCGAAAGCCTGAATTTGGGTGTAATATATAGAAACGGCAATTAAAGTTGCAAACGACATCTTGGCGACTCGAGTGCTGACACCTTTGAGTGTAAAATGGAAATGTGTCAAGCGCATCTCGTGAGAAAAAGAAAAGTTCTTCTGGGAATTAAGTCTAGAATCTAGATACACTCAACAATTAATATCCATTTATTGCATGTATGAATTAATGATTGCATCGAAAATAATTAAATAAAATTTTTAACTTATATATATGTGAGTTAATTTTAATTTTTTTAGTAAACAAAGAGTTAATTTATTTAATATTTATATTTGCAATATTTAATAAATACTTGTAAAATTTAAACAATAAGGGGGACGTTAAAAATTGTATAAAGTATGAAATTTTAAATTATAGAGTTTAAGTAAAAATTAAATAAAATTGTATGGAGCAAAGCCAAAGTTGTGAACTTTCATGTGAACCATGAATTGGTGAGACATTGTTTATAAAATATATTACCTCCGTTAAAAAATATAAAAATTTTTAATTAAATTTTATTCCTTAATGAAATAGTTACCTATTTGTAAATTAATCATATCTTTTCATATTCACTTCTATTAAATGCTTTACAATAAACATAAAGTTATTATCAATAGGGACACTTTTAAAAAAAAGATAATGATTACATCTTAAAAGATTAAAAATGACTTATATTTTTAAACAATGAAATAATTAAATAATGTGATTTCTTATAATTAATGTTAAATCATCAATATAATCCTAATGTTTAAAAATTATAAAAGCAAGTTACGCTGCCCTAAGAGGCTAAGATTAAAAAAATATAGTGTATTTCGTGTACATTGATCCGGGCACTTTTTTTTTTAATTATAATCAACTCCCAAATCAATAAATAAATTATTTCATTTGTCCATTTATAAGTCAAATTTTTATATTTACATGTTAGATTTCAGTATTTATAAATGAACGAGTTTTTTAGGCAATTAATTTTTTTATTAGGGTTCTATATGTAATTTTTTTTAATAAAATTGAAGTATGAAGTATGAACTATGAAGGGTGTCAGGGGGAAGCATGTCCTGTTTTTAAATTTGCCATATTAACAATTAACTGTTTTGGTAGAAAGTCAAAACTTTGCTGGGTTTGTGAAAGTATTCCTTCGATTCTGTCTACTTTAAACTAAATGACTGAGGGAAGCAGCTGCGTACACGCACTTCAACTTCCACTTGTAGCACATTGTCGTTTTCTTCTACCAGCTGTACTTCACTTCACCACACCTGTTTTTTTTTTTTTTTTGGGCCCGCACCACGCCTCCTTAATTACAAGTTTCTTCTTCTTCTTCTTCTTCTTTGTAATATTTTTTTTCTTCTTCTTATTAACGATGCTTTTCTTGTTTTTCCTTTTATCCGACCCAATTTTAGATGCTTCTTCTAAAGTACCTTGGATTAAACTTGTGAAGTGTTCCAAACTTAATATTTTCTTTGCCCTCCAATTACGGGACCAGTTTATATGGAATATGAAGTAAGGGGCTTAGAATCAAGGAAAATCTTTTGAGAGATTATTTGTTCCAATTTGTTGGAAGATATAAAATGATAGGTGCAAAGGCTTGCACTTCAATGCAGTGGTTGAGTCACATTTGTGTGGATGTGCAAATATACCTTTTACTTTAAAAAAAAATTATAAATATAGTATGTAAATTTTGTAACTTTACAATTTCTATTCTTGATATTTTGTACTCCTTAAACTAAATAAAAAATATTTGAACTCAATAGCTTATTAAATATGTAATATTATAATAATCAAAATAAAATATGAAGAACATATTTACGTAAAAAATCATATTAATGTGTTCAAATAATTTTTGAAAAAGAAAAATGATGATCAATCTAATTATATTATTATAATTTTAATCCTAGTATAATTATTATTTTAAAAATATTAATTTTTAAATTAAATAATCTTATACCCTTGAATATAGATTTTAACTCTGCCGCTGCTTCGATGAATAACTATCTGATCACAATATTGCTTTTGCTAGCTCTCAAAATATAATGAATGATATCAACCCAAAAGCTTGTATGAAAGCATTTATAACAAGATAGATTGATATTTGCTCTAAATGGATTTTGCCCATATATTTAGGATGCGTCAAATTGAATGTGGATGACTAGGTAGATTCAAATGGTGCTATTTCAAGAGATTCATTTAGGGGGTGTTTGGCTTGAAAAATTGGAGGAGGGGGAAAGGGAGTTGGGAGGATTGAGAGAAGAGGGGTAGAATTTGCCATACCCTGACCAATATACCCTTTATAATAAGTTCAAAAAATACGGATATAGTTATTCGATATGTCAACACTCATAAGATGAAGGTAAAGTTGTTTATGTATAATTATTTTTTATTACTTCCCCTCTTGAATCATATAAGGTAACATTAAACCCCCTCATCTCCTCTCCCCTCAAACCAAATACACCTGATTTTTTAGAAATTTGAAAAAAAATATTTCATTAAAAATTTTAATTATTATTTAAATATTGTTGCGAAACTCCTAAGAATTCTTCAAAGGCTCACTCTATGTTAGGAAGAAAATTACTTCCATGTTAATGTTCATTATGACTCTAGAGAAGCAATTCATCTCATACAAAGGAAATACAGCTAATATCATCCTCTTATCAGTGCCATTAGAAGGATTGGAACATAACTTTGTATGACTCACCTTCTCTCTGAAGGAATGTTTTATGTTTAGGTTTATCCTGATTTATTTGTAATCACACGGCTTTGACCTTGGCCATGTCAGTTGAAAAAACAAAAACTTGTTTCACATAACAAAAGATTTGCAAGGTCGCACGCATAAATTATTGCTCAAGGGTGAACCTGGTCCCACTCAATTCCACGCCTTCTTCAGCGTAGGCCCCACCAAAGTGATCAAGCAAGATTAAGCCACTAAACATACTCAAAGCCAATAATTACGTTTGAGTTTTGAATGCAAATTTGTCATAAGAATTATTTCTTTTCAAACTTAATATGTTAATCAAAGACATTTGATGTAGCATATTTGGGATAACATGACATTCAAGGGGAAAATAGATATAAATATGTAATTTTTACATTGTGAAAAATAATTGAAATATATTATTTTTTATTTTAAAAGTTCACCGGCTTTTTTTCTTTTGGGCAAGTGACAAATGAATTTTAGAATTTACTCTTGTATAGTTTAGCTAGCATCCAGAATAGTCAAGAGGTTGAGAAGTATAAGAAAGAAATATATCCTTTTTTTAATCAAATGTTTATTTCTATTCGTTTTGTATGTAAGCTGAGATAGTAAAAATAGTAAGAGAGAAGGATGATAAAATGGACATCAAGATTTTGAGTCTTAGTTATAAAGCATTTTAAATTAAAAAAAATTATGGATACGTAATGTTACAGAGTTGAAAATGACTGCAAAACTCAAAAAAAAAAAATCTACATATTTTTTCAATGAAACTTGACTAAAATTAACTGGAGCTGTAAATGGATAATTAGGATGAACTTTCAGTGTCTCTCATTATTGAATTTGTCTCTTAAATGAATCTAAATTCATTTCATTTTTTTTCAGGCCAAAAAATTCATTTCATGTTAATGTTGAGACTAAGTCAAGATTGATTGTTTTTTTTTTTAGCAAAGCAATATTGAATTTAAATATGTTGATAGTACCGAATACCAAAGCATAACTAATAAAAAAAATGGCAATTTGATGACAAAAATTAAGCCAAGTTGTTTTTTATTGGAATATTAGTAAAAACTTTCTGAATAACACCAAAATTTCTTCTCTCAATATCATTGTAATTAGAAATTTATTTATTTTTCTTCTTCAAATCATAAAAGCTCTATGGTCAGATCAAGTGGTTTGCCGATATGCCGTGTTGAGTTTTTCTATTGTGAACATTGTAGATCTAGATAACTCTTTTTTCTTTCCTTCAAAAAAGAAATTAGATTTAGATAACTTATTAATTTATTATATTTCAGTACTTTACATCAAAAAATAAAAAAATTAATCTTTTAATTCTTTAATTTTTATAATTTATTTGTAATTCAGTCCCTTAACTATAATTTATTATGACTTAATTTTTTAACTGTTGATTCATTTATAATTCAATCCTTATTTATTAATTTTTTTTAAAAAAATTATCCTTATCATTTGTACGTCATCCTACCTCACACCTCAGCCATCCTATGTGTAGAAAAACGTTATTGATACTGTTAGTAATTGCCACTATAGCTGCCACGTCATGTATGTGGAGAATTTTTTATGAAATTAACAAAGAAAAATCGAAGGCAGGCCAAAGGAATTAGTGGGTAGGGTTTGCAAAGAGAAAAATGGATAAAGGCAACGAAGAAGAGAAGACTAGCACTGAAGAGGCGCCGAAGAAGGAGACTAGAGGCGATGAAGAAGAATAGTGGAGACGCCATGGAGAGAAGAAGACCAGACGCAATGAAGAAAAGACGTAAGCAAGAGCAAAGAAGAGGAAGATGCAAAGAAGAATACAGGAGCACAGAGATAAGGAAGACGAAGCAAGAGTAGAGAGATAAGCAAGTGCAATGAAGGGATATTGGTAAGTGAAAAAGGTTTTCTTTGTAATAGTGTATCCATGTGCTTTCTAAACTCAAGGGTCCACTTGAAGCTTTGTTCGTTGACGTGCGAGTTAGGCAACTGCAAGTGAATATGGCAAAAAGCTTTAGTGGTCCCACCAAGTCATTTGGGTATTTGTATCATCCTAATATCTTATAGATATTATGTTTCTTGGCTTTGGCTTTATCTAGCAGTCCAAGAGTGTGAATTTAATAATATGTGGTAGTAGGTGGCTTTTAAATGTTCAATGTAATTTGTTTTTAGTCTTTTTTTTTTTTTTCCAACGTGAGTATATAAAGTGTCAAATACATGGATGCCTCAACTGGCATAGGTAAGCATATATCTTTGACTAATAGTAATATTGTAATATAATTTGTGTTATTTATGTGATGTCTAACCATATGATAAAAAAATAGGGAGTTATGAACGAAGTAATGATTGTTCAAGTTATAAAGATAATGAGTTTAGTGGTGAGGATGATGATCATACTTATTTCAAAGAAGATAACATGCCATTAGATGATGTGGATGCCTTGACACTGGTTGATGAAGATGTAAGCTCCCTATCATCTAATCACAAAACTAATTCAATAGAATCTATAGATGAATCTAATTTGGATTTGGAAGAGGCTGGTGCTATGACTAGTTAGTAGCTACAAAAAGTATAATCCAAACGAAATGTGCAAAGATTATATCTTTGAATGTGAAATGGAGTTCATCTCAATTGATGAATTTAAGGAAGCTGTCAAGGAGTATTCTCTTAAAAATGTGTACAAAACAATGTACATTAAAAATAATAGTATGAGGTGTTGTATAAAGTGTGTGCGTTGTGATTGGCTAAAATTTGCATGTAAGGAGAGGAATCCCGTGATATATCATCTGAGGACTTATAATTTAAAACATATTTGTGGTGTAACTTTTAGTTCTATAAACGTTTCAACTAAATGAGTGTAAAAAAAGATCAAAGGTAGAATGAAGACAAATAAGAATATGAGTCTTAGAGATGTGATATTCACAATTAGAGAGGATTATATGGCAGATGTATCAATATCTAATGCTTATTAAGCGCAAAGAAGAGCAAACTAGATATTGAAGGTGATTTTATAGATGAGTGTAAGAGATTGTGGGGTTACAATAATGAGATACTCTAAAAAAGTCTTAAGACTACATTTAAAATTTTCACAAAACATCCCTTTATTGAAAGAGACTACCAAGATTTAAAAAATTATATCTTTATTTGGATGCTATTGAGATAGGATTTTTAGTAGCATGTCAACTAATCATTGGCTTAGATGAATGCTTTTTGAAGGAACCTTATGGTGAACTATTGCTAATAGCAGTGGGATATAATTCGAATGAGCAATATTTTCTTTTGGTAGTGGCTATAGTTAAAGAATTAAAAAATTAATTTTTTTCGAGAAAGTAATTGTCAATTGTCACCAAGTGGTTTTTGCCAAAAACAACTTGTCATTGAGTGGTTTGGGCCAACTAAGAACTTATAAGCCCATGATTTACCCAAAAAGTGGCCAAAGCCCACTGCTGAAGTTAGGCAGTGCTTCATTTTCTTGGCCCTTCTTCGCTTCAATGCTGTTTGATAAAAAACCATGAAAATATATTTCTTTTTTTGATAAGAAAAGGACAGCAAGTAAGCAGTGGCACTTAAACTAGAAGGAAGGAAAAGTAGAGGATGAAAACCAGTATCACATGATAACGCCATCTTGGCCAGAAAATCAACAGCTTCATTTGCATCTCTTGAAATACATCATGAACGTTGCTGCTTTCTTATTTATTTATTATTTATTTTTTTACCCTTTAATCTAACCCTTCCCGTAATAAAGGAAAAGGCACATACAAAAATATGTTAATATTAAGTTTAAATTCAAGACCGCTTCCAAATTAGGAAGATAGTACTCTAACGCTGTCACTAGAATAATTAATTATTACCTGTTGTCATTTTTTTTTTTAATATGTATAAAGCACGACGGGCTATCAATCTAATTTTTACAAAATGTATATATTTTAAACTTAAAGTCTTCTTAGTAAAGGGCAAATAAATGATACAGGACCATTAAAAATACTTATCCAATTTATTTTTACATAACATATTGAAATAGAAGAGATTTGGCCAAAATTTATGTTTTTTTTTTTAGTCCAGCACTAGGTATCTCTAAAAACCTTGAATATTATCATCTCCCACTCAAAATAATTTGAATTTCCGTTACATGGGATATTTATTGGCATCTCAACTTTTATATTAATGTCAAAAGCTTAATGCAATTCTCTTCATTTATCAAGATTTGAGACCAAGTATATTTATGATGAGATACATTTAATTAATTCTAACCAATAAGACCAGACCTGCTGTTATTGTATTGCACTTGGCAAAATAATTTCAGTAAAATAATGAACGTTGGAGATTTTCCGACACCAACTAAACGATGTCGTTTAAGGCAATCAGCAACGGACAAGATGATATGAAGGAGGCAAAGCGAACGGATCTAAACGCGATGATAGCACTTGCGTCAATGAGCACGTGTGGAATTGCGCGTGCGACAAGCCGACAACTAGGATGGATGGATAGAATCCTAAGGCGTCGGGCCTGATTCGGTAAATACGCTGTGGAATTTCCTTCCATCAAAGTAAATCGTACTTACCTGCTTCAGCTTCACCTGCTCCGCTAGGTTTTCCGCCAATTCCCGGACGATAAGCGAAGAGGTTATCGTGAGCGGATCATTGCGCCACTGGTATGTTTCTGTACTTCCCTTACATACTTTCAATTTCCTTCCCTTTACGGGAATAGATATATTATTATTTTTGTTTTCTTGTGTTCCAATTGTTTTTTTTTTTTGGACATGGTTTACTGCAACCTTTTGTATCAAAACATCAATTAGAAGGTAAAGACTTTGCTGGGTTTTGTTTAAATTATGCACGAAAATCGTGGGTTATTGATTTTGCTTGAGTGGGCCCCCAAAAGTCAGAATGTGGTGAAGGTGCTGGTTTTCCCCCTTCTCTCTGTTTTGTTATCCAATCTGATACTTTCGGGAGAAAGTTGTTTTAACTGAGCTCTATGGTGCTTAATTCTGATGAGAAATAGCATGGGTAGCAAGCATGCGTGGAGCAGCGGGATAAGCGTGTATTTTGTTTTTTTGTTTAAAATCGTTGTATTTGATGGAAATCAGCTAATGACTAATAAGCCTTGTATAATGAGTATAATTGAAATCCAAGGTAGGCTATTCGAATGTGTTAGAAATTTCTTCATATTTATAACTTGAATATTTACTGCAGTATGGATAGGCACTGAGATACTTCTTATTTGTATTAGTGATGTTTATGCTCAGTTACCTAGAAATAAAAATCAATTATTATCATTTTTGGACAGTCTTGTTGTGCCTTTGCAACGTGCTTATCAAATTCATTTCTGCACCTATATGATCTTTGGTTCTTGTATGAAGAATATTTCATCCCTCGGAGGTCCCTGTAAAACGTCTAGGGAGTTTTACTTGATGATATGTCAGCAAATCTCATTTAGCATAGAGACTCTGGTTAGGTGTTGCATTACGTCATTTTGATTCCTTGATTTCCTACTTCTTTCTGTTTCCTCTGTTCAATTTCCATCTCTATCAACATTAATAACTGATAGTCTATTTTTTTTATAAAATGAAATCTTCCCATAAATCTGAGAAGCAATTTCAAGCTACTAGAAACTTATAGAGTCCTAGGGTCATTCATCTGAGTGAAAATAGTAGTTTCTAACTTGGTATTCGTCATATTATATAATTCCTTTATGCCAATTCTTGCTGGTCGGATCATGTCAAATTGCAGATTTGTATCAGTTCTTTCCTTGTCCCCCCACCTCTATGGTTCAGTCGATAACACACCTAAAAATTCCTCCCCTTAAAAAAAATCTAGCAACTGTAATGTTTAATTTGGATTTTAACCTTTGGCAATATTGTCTGGCTCGAACTATTTGATCCCATAAGGTAATAGCTTAACTGAAGCATAACTATAAACTCTAGAGCCTTTTAACTTATCATATTGACAAATGGAAGCTGTTATCTTAGAAGCTTAGGATCTTCTTCTATCTAAGCTATTGATATCTTTGGTTCATGAGGCTTGTATAGTTGTCTAGTTGTTTAGTCTCCCATCTTGACATTAAATATCAGGAGCTTCTCTGTGTCTTGGCTATCGTAATCTGTGGTACCTGAAGTTTCAGGTCTTTGAGAACTATAATATTCAGAGTTCAGATGTGATGCAACTTTTTGTGAAGCATGATAAAATGTAGTAAATATATCATGTTTTAGCATAAATAAGAACAACAACAACAATAGTCAGGGAAGTATGGCTGTTTGTTGTGGAATTGCATTTCCCCCCTCCCTAAATTTAATTGTGCCTTTTTCTGCCAACTTTTTGTAGTAGCTTGCAACATACTATTTCTTATGAGATTTGTCAACAAGGGAAATTACTTTTTAATTTGCACTGGTTTTTTGTATAATGTGCATTTTCTCTCATTTCTTTCCATATAAGTGGAATCTTCTCAAGGTCTCTTAGGTTGCAGTCCAAAATGGTGAAATTGAATGGTATATCTTGTAATAATAAATTATAACTGTGCTCCCTCTTGTTCATGGGGACTGTCATTTTCCTGTTTCTTCTTGTTTGAAGATGATAGGATTTACTCATGTGAAGTGGGTTTCTTCCACTCATGTAATCAAATACTCCTTTGGTCCTATTTATAAGGCAAAGATAGGGCACTTGTTAATTCCCAATGTTCATGTTTACATTTTTCCCCTTCTTAAATGCCTTGAATAAAAATACCACTAATGAGATTTAAAAATATTTATTATGGGTAAAGGTGGAAACTTGTTAAGTTTGAAGTTAAAGTTAATGAGTTTTAAGGTTTTCCTTAATTTTGGTAAAACATGCTGTAAGTGATTTATAAATAGGATTAGAGGAGGTAACTAATTCAAAAAAATCTATTTCAATACTTGATTCCTGCTAAATGTGTAGTTTGAAATGTCGGAAGCGGATGAGTACCGTTGCTTTATTGGTGGCCTTGCATGGTCAACATCTGATAGAAAGCTGAAGGATACATTTGAAAAGTTTGGCAACCTTCTTGAGGCAAAGGTATTGAATTCTATCACATTACCATATCACAGTTTTCTGTTATTCTAATTTCTGTTGCTTTTACAGCCACATTCCATGCTCGTGCTTCTATGTTTATTTTTGCTGCAATATTGCAATTATGATGCTGCATGTATAATGTGCTGTGTTGTGCTTTGGGCTGAGATCTCTATTTCTACTTTCATTCTTTATTAACATAGTAGGGAAGTTGTATTATCTGTAAAGTTTATTTATTCATTCTTTAGCGGCTATAGCAGGAACAAGGATTTGGTCTGGCTTGATTGAATAATTATATCTGTTTTAGTAACTATTTCTTTGAACATTGGGGTGGGGGTGGTTGTTGTTTTTCATCATTTTTCTAGTTGTCAATTTCTTACGGTTATGGTTTTAAATATATCCTTGATATAGGTGGTTGTTGACAAATTCTCTGGGCGCTCTCGTGGTTTTGGATTTGTCACATTTGATGAAAAGAAAGCAATGGAAGATGCTATTGACGCTATGAATGGGATGGATCTAGATGGTCGAACTATCACTGTCGATAAAGCTCAGCCTCAACAAGGATCTAGAGATGATGGTGATCGTTATCGTGAAAGGGGTCGTGATCGGGATCGTGATCGTAACCGAGATTATGGAGGTGGTCGAAGCTCCAACGGTGGTGAGTGTTTTAAATGCGGCAAACCTGGTCATTTTGCTAGGGAATGCCCCAATGAAGGAGCACGGGGAAGCAGGTATGGTGGCAAGGAAAGTAGATATGGTGGTAAGAGTAGTGGTGGTGGTAGTCACTATGGTCCCGATAGGAATGCAGATCGTTATTCTGGTGGTCGCAACAGGGATTCAGGTACTCATGGAGATTCTGGAAATGATCGGTACCCTCGTGATCGTGCTGGACCTTATGAACGTCGAGGACCAGGAGGCTCTCGTTCTGGATAGTATTTAGTCTTCATTGAGGTATGCAACATGAATGAACTCTCCGTTTTCTGGGTGATTTTTATTTCCTTATGGTGCAATGCATTGTGCTAATAGAAATTTCAATATTATTTTTGCAGCTGCAAAATGGGATGTGTTGCTGTTGCTGCCTCAACTTCCTTTTGTAATGGCCATGCTCTGGGAAACTTGTTTGGGTGGATCAATGATGACACTGTTTTGATATGCTTTACTCGGCACATACATCAAAACTCATTTATGTTCCTAACATGCTGACCATTTGGTCCGTTGAAATCTTATGCATGATTGACTTGCTATCCGAATTGGTGTTGTGCTCTATGCTATTGATAAATGCTGCTGGGTACCTTGTGAGTTGTGACTTTCATGCATGGGAAATTGAATATGGCATATTTGCTACCGGATTCCCAGTTTCAGTATATTGGAAAGTTATTTGGTTGTGGATGGATTTTTGGGAGGGCCAAGCTGGAAGTCTGGATCTGGGAGTTTGCTTAGAGTTTCCGTTTGGCCATACAATTTCTGGATCATTGAATTAAATAGTCCAGTGGGTAAATTATTAATATATTTTACTCATACTCCTACCTTCTAATTGGTTTGATTTCAGTTTTTGGTCAGCTTTGTTAATGTAATTAAATTTTGGCAGGGTGCTTGGCTTAATGTGGTCTTTCTGGATTCATCCTTGTGGTCCTTTGTTGCTAATTGGATATGCATGATTTTCTAAACTTAAAACTTTTCAGCTTCAACAAGCCATCCGCAGTTTCATTCAGTAATCATGCTACCTTTGTTTTCTGCATGGGCCCTGATGGAAAGGTGTGCTGAGCATGCATTTTACCTTCATGCATGTGGTTTGTTGAGCTTGTTTGCTGAGATTCAGTTAAGTGGTCTTACTCCAAACCTGTGTTATGGTCCCAAATTTCCATTCTGTTCTGCAAGACGGGCTCATGTTCTGTTGAGATTTGAGATTACTGCCTCTTGTCCTTTAGTCCCTTTGTGGTCCCAAATTTCCGTTCTGTTCTGCAAGATGGGCTCATGGTCTAATGTTATTTGCGAGCGCTGCCTTTAAATTGACCTCCATACAGTGATTCTGAAAGGAAGTTTTGTGGTCGCCCGGAATATTATCTCTCTCTGTCCTGGTAACCTTTGTTCTCTCATTTATACTGTTCGTGTGTATGTCCAGAGAACATATAAATGATACTCAAATCATGGAGTTGAAGGTGAGAGATTGTGTTCTGACTAACTGAACACTGTAGGGATTAGCATCCATTCAGTTTTGTTTTATGATTAACTAGACACATTTTTTCTCTTATATTGTATCAAGTGTGAGGAATATGTTTGTTGCATTGCCTCGTCCCTAGTGTTTGATGTGCCACATAAAGTGATTAGAGCATGGTAGTAAGATTTAGTTCGAACTAAGCTGTTAGGATCATTCCTATTTAAATTGTACCCAACACTATTGGAAAGAATGAAATGTAAATGGATAATCCATGATCTGAAGAGGAAATTTGGTAGAAGAATGAAACGACTTGGTAATATTTTTGTTTGGATAGTATAAGGACGTTCAAGAGGCCTACAAATTGGATCTCTTTATTCAAGCATGGATGATATATAGAAGAAATAAACTTGTGTGGGGATTATATCCCTTTTCATGCTCATTATCTCTTTTCTATCTCTTCCTGTATATGGATTTTATGCATTACTTACCTGTTAATGTAGATAACTTGGATTGGCTTGAGAGGCTCAATCATGAAGCTAGTCAGGTTGACTTAAAAATGTCATGTCTCGTCAATTGTGTATATGGCTGCCAAATGATATGAGATGGCTATTTTAACAATGGTATCTAAACAGGGATTTGCAGTGTGTTGTTATTTCTGATGCCAAAAATCTCATATCTTCATTTCAACTAATGGTCGCAGAAATTTTATCCAATTCTTCTCAAATGAAAGGCTGAGAGTTTGGACATTAGAGGGGGTAACAGACACTCCAAATTCTCAAAACAACCTGGGTAACAATTTTAGGCAGCGAGTGATGCCTCGTCATTGGTGAAACATACTGCAACCCTTTAAAGACGTTCTTATAGTGAATTTTTTCCCCCCTGAAATAATGTTAATATGAAGAGGAGTTGGGTATTATACATTTGTATTGTATTCCACTAAAGTTGACAATAAGGATAGGCCTGATCATAATGGGCTAGTCCTTGAAGGGTTAGGCCCAAAATCTTTTTGGGTGAATGACACCATAGTCACATGGAACGGATCTTAGTCCGCTAAAGTCTTTTGAAGAAGAGAAATTTCATTTGAGACCCAGTGGATTCAAATGAAATTCCTTTCCCTTTCCCTTTTTTTTCCCTGTGAAAAAACCCTTCCTCCGATGTATTCATCGGAGCCATTGTCGGCGGCTGTCAGAACCTTCTCACTGTCGCTGGAGCCATCACTGTTGGCTGTTAGAGCTTGGCTACCAGCGGTTGAATCAATGCTTCAAGGGTGACAAATTTATGGGATATTGGTAGGTTTCGTATGAAATATTGAGTAATTGTGTTCAACACTTGATTAAAATGAATGGGATCTAATTAAATAAATCGTCATCGATTAGAATATTCAATTTATGTATTTTGAAAGAGATCTCAACTTATAGACCAACTCTAAAGTCAGTGATCCTATTTAAATTTATCAAGAATATTTATGTGATTGACTACTATTATGCATGAATCTTGTAAATTCTTCTTAAACATTTGCCCTAGCCACTTAATTGGTTCTTGAACATGTTTTTTGGTCAATGGTGGTTGAACAAAACAAATGAATCCATCAATGTTCCCAAGTATGTCTTCTATAATTATTGTGATTTATTTACATAGCAAATTAAAATCGAGCTTTATTTGTTTTATTTAACTATATCATGCAAATTGAAAGGTTTCAAATGAGACGAGAGATTAGATTATTATGTAGTCTATGGTAGAAATAATAACGTGATTACGAAATTGAAGATGGAACATGGAAGTCTCTTTCCACTAATTAGGTTAGGAAACCTAAATCAATAAACTATGATCTATAATGGAAGTTAACTTCATATGGATCTGTGGTTTGGATAATATGATGCAATAATTTATTCAAGGGTGTGGCGGGCACACGCCACTTTGACAATCAAAACTTTCTGCGATTTGTTTTCTAATTTATAATTTAAATTTGTGTGATTCAAAGCTTTCTCAAAGTTATAGACCTTCATTAAATGTTAATGACCTATATTAGAATAATATAACTTTTAGTCCTTACTTTTTTTTTGTTCCCAATTATCAATGTAGTCTTTGAATTTTGATTGGGAATAACTCAATTCTTATAGGTCATTTAGACAAGAAATAATAGGAATGATGTTGTATGGAGCTGAAAACTTATGAAGAATGAATTGTCATGAGTCAAGAAAATTTAGGGAGTGAGTTTTTCTGGGTCAAAATTAAATGATTGAATTGATAATTGGGGAAAATTAAAAGGACCAAAACTTGCATTTTCCTAATACTCCCTTCGTTAAGCATTATAGAATACTTTTAATTGAATTATACATTCAATGCGTTTGTAAATTATTCCATATTTACCTTATTTAGTAATATCTCAATAACAACTAAAGTTGGCGTGAGTGATGGAGGGTCTCATAACTTAAATAAATGATTGTGAATTCCAAATGATTGTGAATTCCAACCCTAATCCTTGTATATGTAGCAATTTTGCTAGTAGAAAGATCTACCCATTACTCTCAATACCTTAGAAGAGATATTTTCCCCACTTGACTGAGCCTACTCCATACACTTACTAGAAAAAGTAATATCTCAATTAAAATTTTTTATTAATAATGCCCAAATGTATTTTCAGAAAAACCTTATAAATTACATATTGAAAAACTTAAAATGCCTTATATTTTTTAATATTTTTTTAAAAAATGCCTTATAATATTGAAAGGAATCAGCATATATTTGTTATAAAAAAGCACAATGATAATGCTTACTCCCTCCATTTTTAAATATAAAATAAATTATCATGTGTCTCTTTATTTTTATTGATAAGTAAAATTAAACTACAAATTTCAAAAAAAAATATTTATTGCATTTTCTCCAAATTGTTCCTCACAAAAATGTTTACTTTCGTTTGACAAATTTGTTTCATTAATTATAGGGATAATTTAATTCAAATATTTTAATTTCAAAGATAATTATTATATTTAATCAATTTTTTAGGTTGTGTGAATTTTTTGTTTTCTTTTATATTTGAAAAAAAGGGAGAGTACAATGATACTGCTTCTTCTTTAGTATATAAATTAAACATCCTCACTTCTCTCTCTCCAAACACGGGGCTGAAAAAAAAATCCAAACAAAGAACTAATCAAAGAAATTAATGCAGGGAAAGAAAACCAACAAATATTAAAGGATCGACCACTTTGGTTTGAAAAATTAAATAAACGAAAGAAAAGAAAGATTCTGTATGAAAAAGAATTGCGTAAAGGGAACAAGTTCTGGATTTATACGCTCATAATTGAACTATATTAAATTTAAGCAACCTGTGGCTTTCGTGTGGATTGCACATCCCTTTCAATTTAATATGCTATGACACGCATTCCACATCATCTAAATAATTCCTTTCATTAATTTTTTTTTTATTAATGTGCCACTATCCACTGGAGTGCGTAGTAGCCTAATAATATTTGCTTAACCAAGTGGATATGACATAGATGATAACGGTTTGACCCTTTAAACATTACTCCCTCTGTTCTTATTTATAGAGCAGAAAGAGAAGAGTTTTTTTAGTTCTATTTATAAGTTACATCATTAAATTTTCATCATAAATTTTTTCTTTTACCCTTTATTAAAAGTTAGAGAGAGAAAATTATTATTGAAGTATGTATATTTAATAGAGGCAAAGTTGAAAATTTATTAAATTTTAAGATAGAGTTAATGAGCTTTAATATTTTTCTTAGTACTAATGAAATATGTTGGAAGTGATTTATAAATAAGACTAGAGGAGTATTTCAAATTTAATTCTTGGAGATATACATGGAAAGCATTGATTGGGAAAGAACAACCCCTTGAATAACACTCATATTTTTTGAGGGATTAATTTCATGGTTGTGAAATGTTCAATTATTTAATTAGCAAAAGGAATATACCGGTAGTAGAATACAGCTCATGCTGATTGTGCATGACTAACATTTTCTATCTATACAATGCACCTTTAATGAATTTTTTTACCTTTTTTTGAAAAAATATCAATAAAGGACTCATGAAAGAGCATTTGTAAAATTAAATATTAATAAATTACCAAGAGAACATATTTTTTATTAAGTATCTAATATGTCCAGTTTATTTGATATTAAATTCTTTCAACGATCTTTTATTGATATTCTCCCTTTAGATTTCTCATAGGTATCTCGTTGAAAACAATTTTATTTGATACATCGTGGAGCAGTAAATATCAATCCTGCCATACGATGGCGCACGACCTAGAATCATAAAACAAAGCTTCCCACACATAAATTATTTGAAACTGTACTATTTTTAATAACACAAACTGAAGTCAAATTAATTCATCAATCCAAACATTTTTAATCATGACAAAGTCAAGAGAAAGATTTATGTATTTTGCCACATATATTTAGTGTACATTTATCCAATGAATGTATAATATATAAAGGAAGAGTTTGTTAATAAATTTTAATGGGTTAATAATATATATTAATAAGAAGAGTTTGTTATAGAACAATTATATAATATATAAAGGATTCACATGTCCTAATTAAAAAAAAAACACTTTAAGTATATAAAGTTGAGTATAGAAATTTTTCCCTAAAGTGAATATGCAATATAAGAGAAAGAAACAAAAAAATATACCAAAACAATAAATAAGCTTCATATTGAATTCTTTTATTCAGTCCTGAAAAAAACTTAGTTCTCTTCTTACATATGAATGTTGAACATAGATGATTCAAGATACAAATCAACCTTAACAATAAACCCTTTGTCAAGGCATTGAAAATAGAACTGATTAATTATTCAACTAGTCAATGTACTAGTTTAATGACTAATGATTAAAACTGTAATTGAATTGTGATTAAACTGATCATAAATAAAATATTTTATTAAACTAATTAAGACATTAATTTAACGGTTTACTGGTTCAATCCGGTGGGGTGACTCAAATTTCCATACCCTTATATCCTCATCATTCATTAATTGAATCCTCCACTTTTTGCTAATGCCCTCCACACAATCTGTGTCCTTTTTCAAATTAAAAAAAGAAAACAAAAACAAATTAGGTTCACTAACACTCACTTATCGATCATGCTGGCTTCCTCCATAAATATCCTCCATTACAAGCGTGTGCTCTCCACAAGCTCTCTGTTAACTTTCACAATATTAATCCCATTTTCCAGCACTGAACATTCTCTTCACAACCTTCATCATTCTCTCATGGCTTCCACTACTGCTCATAACATTGGAACATCACAAAACGAAATGGTCGTCGAGATTCCCAACCACACAAATGGAACAACTCTGCCAAACCCTAAGCCCAGCCTACCCACCATTGGAGAAAATCCTAACAAGGACGACGACACAGACTACTCTCAGAGGGGTCAATGGCTTCGCGCCGCCGTGCTGGGAGCCAACGACGGGCTCGTCTCCGTCGCCTCCATCATGATGGGCGTCGGAGCCGTGAAGGAAGACATCGCAGCGATGCTTCTCTCCGGATTCGCAGGGCTAGTCGCCGGAGCTTGCAGTATGGCGATAGGAGAGTTCGTGTCCGTGTACACACAGTACGACATAGAGAAAGAACAGCTCAAAAGAGAATCAAAAAACGAAGAAGAAGAAGATGAAGAGAAGAAGGAGCTGGAAAAGCTTCCAAGTCCTTATCAAGCAGCATTAGCATCAGCACTAGCATTTTCGGTCGGAGCTGTGGTTCCATTGCTGGGAGCTGTGTTCATAAGGAATTATAGGGTTAGGTTAGGCGTGGTTGCCGCAGTGGTGAGCTTGGCCTTGCTCGTGTTCGGGGGCGTAGGAGCTGTTCTTGGTAACACTTCTGTTAAGAAATCATGCATTAGGGTTCTTATCGGAGGTTGGACCGCCATGGCCATAACTTTCGGCCTCACCAAGTTGATCGGAGCCACTGGACTTTGAATATATATATATATATATATATCAGTAACAAGTAACAACTAGGTTTAAATCTGATAGCTCTATGCCGACCATCAAGTTCAAGATAATAAATGCGCAATTCATATGGGGTCCAACTTGTCTTTAAGGCCGAAAAAAATCCTAGAGACGAACCGTGCCTGTGATCATATATATTGCATGAAGGCAAGTGTGTGAGGTTATAATTAGAATGAGTGTGTAAACTTTTATTAATAATAATAACGAAAGAATGAGTGTCTAAACTAGGAAGCTTTTAATATTATATTGATATGGTTGTGTTCTCTGTTTTGATGTTGTTGTTAATCATGTATAACAAATCGCTTGAGTGCTTTCAATATTGGGTGCTTTGTAAAATGATGAATTCAAGTGTGTGTTATATATAGTATGGAAATCTGGGTTAACTTGCCTGGTTGAATCATTAAACTAATGTTTTGATTGATTAAATAAAATACTTTATTTATGATCGATCTAATCATAATTTGACTAAGAGTTTAATCATTAATTTAAATTAGAACTTTGTCGCTTCAATAACCGATCTGATTTTTAATACTTGATCTTTTTAAAAGAGTGTGCCTTGTGCTATTTCTTGGGGATTTTAGGGTTGTAAGTATCTTCTTTCCTTTATATATATATATATATATATCCTTTATAATTATGTTTTAAGTGGATAATGCATCAAACCTTTAGTTTTTTAAGTTTGTCTTAGTTATTGATTTATTTTCTTAAGTTTAATTTTTATCGATTCAATCTCTTAAATATCTCAATTATGGATTTGGTCTTTATCATTTAAATAAAAGGTAATACGGTTAAAATTTACTGATATGGATAAGAATATTGTTGGTAGTCATATAAATTAATAAAAAGAAGTGTAATTATTTAGATAAAAAAAGACTCACATTTTTAAAACAAAAGAACAAAATGCAGTATAAAATATTATATTTAATAAAAATGAAATTGATTTGTGAGCCAATTTGTTCTCGTTAGCTACACGCACAAATCAAGTCATGATTTACTTTGAAAATTATATTAATTTGATAGTTAATTTGTGTTTTAAAACTTAAAAGACTAATATAATAATTTAAAAAAATATAAGAGGCCAAATTGATAAAAATTAAATTTAAGGAACTAGATTTATAATTAAAGTAAACTTGAGCGACTAAAGTTTTATCATCCATGTAAATTTTTTGGTGCTCGTTTCTATCCTGTCCTCTGCTATACATGCACACAAAAAGAAACAAGTAGCTGAAATAACTCTGGACGTGTTCAAAGTATGGTGAGTTGCACATAATAAGTAAATAATGAAAGCACTTCACAAAATTATAATAAGAGTTGAAATTATTTAGGCGATTCATTTTTTAAAAAAATATATTAAAGAATAGGCTCCGCTGAAAGTTGAAAATACTTCCCCGAGGCACTAATCGCAACAAGAAATAGTCATTTTTCAGCTAAATTACTATATCCATCAAGGATGGGATTTGAAACCCAACTATTTGCTTAAGTGATGAGATAATTGCTTGATGATAATTAAATTTAGGCGATTCTAATATGAGTAGAAATCAACATATTGTAATTTAAGGTGATTTTACTAATTTATGGTTATACATTTTCCTGGAATTTTCTTCCGGAGATTACTGGTCTTTGTTTCAATATTTTAAAATTTAATTTTATCATCAAGCTAGGTGCATTTTTCTCTTATTAATTTTCCACCTTCTGTTTCAAATTTTGAATAATTTATATATAAAAATATGTTATTATATAATTGTAATTTAACTTTCAATTTTTAGAAATAAACAAGGTAGTTGCCTGCTTATGAAAATAATTACACTCTTATAGTTTTATAATTCAGCATTATATGATTGGGTCTTTTATTGAATAATTTCGTTATAAAATGCATCTAATTTTTCTTAAAATTATATTTTTTTAAAAGAAAGATTATGGGGTTTTTAAAATTTATTAGCAATCCTCACCTAGAGTGGACTATCGTGATAAAAAAATAAACAAATAAAAAATAAAAATTTTTGACCCGAAAACTAACTTTTTAGATTTTCAAGATTAATACAGATTTTACTTGAAAGTAAAAAAAAACGGATATCCTTTGAATATTTGAAAAAAAAATTAAATTTCCCTCATTTTTAAGGGAAATCTGTGTAGATTTTTAAAAATAGAGAAGAATTTTATATAATTTGACTAAAATTTTGAAAAAATGTGTGTCTGTGTGTGTGTGTTTGGCAATATATATATATATATATTGATTAATCAACTGCAATCTTATCAATTAATGAGTCTTCAATTAATTGGCCAAAAAAAGTCTTCAATTAATGGATTTATTAAATGCATTTGGGTTTTTGAATTTGAGAGTCCAATTGACAAATTCTAACAGGATATAGTTTTCCATCTCTGCAGAGTCTATTGACATAAAACAGTTGGAAGTATTAGCACAAATTTATGGTAAAAGAAAATTCTATTTATCAACCTTTTTTCTAATCGAAATACAGAGATGTTATCTTAAATGAGAATTGTAAATAATCCAGGTGGAATTGAAGGAAAGGTTTCAAAGTAATCTTGACGTGAAGATGCTCATATTCTGTGTGTTGTGGCATATAACTTCTGCCTTTTGGTGTGGCTTTTTGGAAGGAAAAAAAAATAGTAAAATTTTCAAGGGAAAAAAAATGTAATTTTTGGCACTTGAATTTTGTCTCAATTATCGATACAATTCCGGAACATCTACTCTTTACAATTTGATTCTCATAGTTTCTTGACTAAAAACAATTTAGTTTTTTGATTCGGTACTATTCAGCTTCTATAATTACATAACTTAATAAATTATAATGACTGAATTATATTGAATTAAAATTTAAGGAATAAATCGATAATTAAAAACTTATTTGATATGATAAAAGGGATTTTGATAGAAATAGCAATGGAGATGGATATATTGATGAAAATGGAAATGGGAATTTAAAACTTGTTTTGTAGGGAAATGGAAATCTAATTTAATTTTTAATCAATAGATACATGTAAAATATATAAATACTAAAATACCCTAAAAAAAAAAAAAACTATCAGCATAACAACAGAGACCCATTTCAAAACTACTACTCTTTCATCTTACATTTTCTCTTTATTAAAATTTTATAAAATCGAACTCGTTAAAAATTTTTCTCCTCTCACCTTCCATTCTCCTCCGACCAAATAGGGAGCCCGAGAAGCAAAAATGTGTGAATTGGTTAGAGAACAAGGCGTATTATGCAGTTTAAAAGATTTATTGTTATGATCAATGATGCAATAAGCCCCGAGAGCTTGTTTCCTGGTTGTATTGAGATACTTTGAGTTTCAGAAAAAATTTTAATTTCTAATTAATATATTGACTTGGGTGTTTCCCCTGCTTTACCAAAGGGGAAAAAAAAAAGAAAATAATTGTAAATCTATAATGGTTTGATCAATCAAGTGATGAAAAAAACATTACAAAAGAAAATCAATCACTTGAACTTTATCGATAGGAAAATTAAAAAATCATGTTAAAAAAAGCTATTCACATGGGCCCAATAATAGTAAATCTGCCACATACTTCGTATAGTCCTATATATATTACTAACTTTTAAGAAAAATTGAATAGTGCTAAATATAAGTCATTTTGCAAAAATTTGTGTGGCAGCCTTGTTCTCAATTTCCAGTGAGAAAATAGAGCATGTTTTCTTCTAAAATTTATGGTAACTATTAATTAGGATAAACAATAAATATCAAAAGTAATTTTTAGACAAATTAATCATGTAACTAATTTCTCTTAATTTCTGTGAGTTAGTTATAAGTAACTTATACTTTCTTTGTTAAAAAAATAAAAAGTATTTTTAATCAAATTACATCTCCCAATAAATTAGTTAATTGTCTTCAAATTAATACTATTTTTCTATGTTTGTTTTTATTTAACGAGATGTCTCACTTTAATGTAAATAATTGAGTAGTTTATATATTAAAGTTATACATTGAAAAACTAAAAATATTTTATATTTTTAGACATTTAATATAAAATAATGTCTTATATTTTTTAACAAATAGAGCAATAAGAACACGATAAGTATTGAATATTTTTTTTGGCACAAAAAAGGTAGCAATTGTCTCAGTTTTACTGCACTGTCTTGAGCTTTTGCGCACTCTTCTCTCCTTTTCCCTCATGCTTTTCCTTGGTTATTCAGTATTTTTACTACTATGTCACCTTATTTTACATGAGGGTTCTGCTTAATTTTAAAAAGCTTTGACAACTATGCTGAAATTGCTATCAAGAACAGTTTCTTTTTGCATGGCTCAGAAGAGATTTCTTGCAAGGTAAGCCAACAGGTCATACTCTTAGGCCATGTTTGGTAGACTAGAATTGTAGAGATGGAAATAGAATTGAAAAAAGAATCTGAATAAAGTGATGTTTGGTAGACATGAATCATAATTTCTAAGAATCCCAATTCCATGAAAATAGGTTGAATTGAATTCTTTGTTTAAAGCTATGGAATCAAGGGCAATTCTATAGAATTGTGACTTTTAAGACATTTTTACCTTCATAAAAATTATAGAAAGATAATTTTGCCCTAAAAACATATAACCCTAACCACACCCAAAAATGACCACACCCAATTATAATATATGTGTGTATGTGTAAAATATAATACGATATATGTATTTATAATATTTCTTTTATGAAATATTTTACTTATATATAATATTTATCATCTATCTAATATTTTATTTATATACTAAACATGTGAGGAAATTAAAATATTTTTTATAAAATATTTTACTTATATATAATATTTATCATCTATATAATATTTCATTAACATATAAAATACATAAGGAAATTGAAACACAATTAAGCTTTTATTATGTTTTATTTTAATTTTTATATAGGGGTATTTTTGTCTTTTAAGTATAATTCTATTTCCATGTCTTATGTACCAAACAAAAATAATGTAAGAATTTCATCTAATTTTTCTAACATACCAAACATATTTTTGTAATTCAATTCTATTTCAATTTTGATTTCAATTCTAATTTCGATTCTGATTCCAATTCCATCAAAAACTATTCAATCATACCAAACGAGGCCTTAGGTGTATTTGGTTAGAGGGAAATGGATGAGCAAGAGATGAGAGATTTTTACGAGTTTAGTTTAAAAAAGTTGGAGAAGTGATCAAACCTTGTGATTAAGTTTCATTACTTTTTTTATCTTGCATCTTCTCCTTATTGAAATTTTATCATTTATCTTTTTTTTTAAATCAAAATTACTAAAATTTTTCCTTCTTTCTATCCATTTCCTCCAGCCAAAGAAAATATGGGTGGATTAATTAGGGAACAAGAGTGTTATGCAATTTGAAAGATTTATTACTATGATCAATGATGCAATTGGCGATTTGAATTCAGTGACTAGTTTAAGTCTACTCACTCCATAAGTGTTGATGAAAATAACCATTTGATTCATTGAATGGTTGTAGATATTTTGTCAAATCATACTTAGAAAGTACCAAATTTCAACTTGTTGAAGGAGATGGCAAGTGTTTGATCATTGTTGAATAATCCACTCTTAATAGATCAGGTCCAATATGAGTTTATGAAATCTTTATCGAAATATAGAGAGGATTTAAACTAATATAAATCGAGCTACAAGTCCCTCTAGAGCGCTTGTTTCCTAGTTGTATTGAGATACTTTGAGCATCATAAAAAAAAGAATTCTAATTAATCTATTGACTTGGTTGCCTCCCTGTTTCACACCAAAAAATGAAAAGGAAAAAAAAACTGTAAATTTATAATGGCTTAATCAAGTGAGGAAACCATGATACAAAAAATTAATCCCTTAAACTTTATGGATAATAACATTAAAAAATCATGTTGCTATTCACATGGGCCCAATAATAGTACATCTGACTTATTAATTGGGATACTGCCACATGCTCCGTCTAGTTCTCCATATTAATAGCCTTCTAGAAAATTTGTACTATTTTTATTTAAAAATATAAAATATTTTTAATTAAATCTTAATTTTAATAAATTTATTAATTATTTTTAAATTAACACCATCTTTTTATATTTACCCTCATTTAATAAATTGTTTTACTTTAAAATAAATATAAAATAATTTAATAGGGTGTTTCCATATTTACATTTTTTTTGGGCCAAATTTTATATTTATATTTAAAAATATTTAAAATATCTTATATTTTTTAATATTCAACCTTTTAAAAAATATATTATATTTTTTAACCAAAAGGAGCAGTATTAAATGTAAGTTACTTTGCAAAAAATTTATGTAGCATTAATTATTATTTTTCCTGAATATATTCCTGTTCATCTCAATTTCCAACGAGAAAATAGACCACGTTTGATTTTAAAATTTATGGAACTATTAATTAGGATGAATAATAAAAATTAAAGTAATTTTTAGACAATTTCAATGATATAACTATTTTTTTTTTTAAGATTTGTGAGTTAGTTGTAAGTAACTTATACTTTTCCTGTTTAAAAAATATTTTTAAAGCAAATTAGATCTTCTAATAAGTTAGTTAATTATCTTTAAACTAATATTACTTTTTTATGTTTATCTTTATTTAATAGAATATCTCACTTAAAGGTGAATGGTTGAGTGGTTTATTTATATATGGGAGAATTATATCAATAAACCTCCTAAGAGAATTATTTACAAATAAGGATCAATTACAAGTCACCATTGAAAAATAAACAAATGGCTATTATCATTTTAACAATAAAAAATTCTGTATTGATCTTTATATATGAATAATTCTTTTGAAAGGTCTTTAAATATGATTCTCTCTTTTATTTTATTTATTAAAGGTATTATACACTGAAAATTAAAAATATCTTAAATTTTTAGAGATTGAACCTAAAAAAAAAGGTATCTTATTTTTTTTTAACAAATGGAGTAATAATAAGAAGGGAAAATGAGAATAAAATATTTTAAATTATATAAATAATAATTTAATTTCTAAAAATATCATAATTTCACTGAAGTCTCTAGGAACTTATATGTCAATAAATTTTAAATTAAAAAAATTATTTTACTTTTATTAATAAGTTATAGTTTCTTGTTTAATTCATACGATTCTTTAAATAAAAGTTATTATTCTTTAAATAAAAGTTATGTTTGTGGCTTGTTATTTTGAGAGTTTGTTTTTCAATAACAGAAATTACATTTAATAAGTTTTAATTTTTTATTCAACTTTTACAATTCATAAAATAAAAGTTATTATTTTTTAAGTAAAAGTTGTGATTGGAGCTTGTTTTTCAATAACAAAAATTATATTTCACAAGTTGTAATTTTTTGTTCAACTCTTACAATGTATAGAACAAAAATTATTATTTCTTAAATAAAAGTTGTGATTTGGGATAGTTATTTTCAACAAGGGTAAATAATTTTTTTACTTTAAAATTTATTGACTCATAAATTTTTAAGGATTTCAAGAAAATTATAGCATTTTAAAAAATTAGATTGTTATTTATATAATTTGAGAAAATTTTATTTTTTTTAATAAAAACATGAGTAAGCACTGAATAGATTTATTATTATTATTATTATTTGGTATAAAAAAATTTAGATGAATTAGGTTTCAAAAACTAACCAAAATCTGGATATTGTCTTCAAGTTCAATAAACACTTGAAGAAATATTTATAAAATTGTCTTCTAACACCTCCCCTGCATCAACCGTAACATTTGATTTCACGGCATTTTACTTATTGGATAGTGATAATGACTTGTGACTTATGAGACATAACAAAACTACCAATAACAACGAATGGAGCTTTCGTGTACGTGTCAGATTTTCAGAGCTAAATGTCTCAATCTCACCGTGACACGCAGAGTTTCTTTTGTGCTGAAAGCCTGAAACTGTGAAGATGATATCTAAGCTAACTTTTGTTGTTTTGGATCTCAAACTCCGACATGACTAATGCTTTTACAAAATGCTAGCAGACATCTTATCTTAGTAAATATTAATATTTTTTACGTCTTTTTGGACAACCTTTTTTTTCTTAACTTAAATCACAACCCTCTGATATATCTAGGATAGATCCCACCTAGATGTATCCAAGATGGGAAATAAAACACTTGTAAAAGGATACAACGATCAATAATTAAGTTACAAGAAAATCTGAAAGCTTGTTTGGTCTTGTCACCTCCAACATTTGGGAAGTGCTTGATGTTGATTGAATATTTAAGTTTAGCTAAATTAATTTTAAAAAATTACATCCCAACTGTTAGTGAAACTGGATTTGGTGAATGTAAAAGATAAAAGATCTACTTAAAATTTCTATCTTTAACTTTTGAAAAGTAGCGTCTCATTTTAAGGTTTAAGATATTGTTTGACTGCTTTATAAATGAGTAAAGGGGTTTTTGAAAAGTGTTAAAAACTAATGGAATTTACAAGGAATTGTATATTTTGGGTCTTCTTTCTCCACTTTCCTTGCCTTTTCCTTTTCCATTTTGAAATCAACAATCCAAATGTTCAAGGAAGTGTAATTCAAGACTTGATGTCTTGGGATCATTTACGGAGAAAAAAATTAGAATAAAAAGCACAATCATTATTCGATCTGCATGTTAATCAATTCCTGTGCGTCGTTGTGTTTGAAGAATAACTTCACAAGAATCTATTACATTATTAAAATGGTCTACAAATTGCTTTGATGTTCATTTTTGCTCCAAATAAATACTCCCTTCATCCAATAAAATTTATTAAATATACCTTATAATTTTATTTTTTTAAAAATAAAAATATAAACATCCAAAAATATCATCCATTTAATATTCTATTTATGAAAAAAATATTAAAGAGAATATAATATGAAGGTTAATATTAAAAAAGCATCATTGATAAAATCTTATTTTTATGAAAATGTATTATATTTTGGAATATCAAATATTTCCTAAAAGGGCTTTATAATTTAAAACAAAGATAGTATTAAATATGATGCAGCTACCAATCAAACTTGGCTTCTTTATCTTTCCCCTCTCTCCACTTTTCATCTCAGCCTTTAAATTTATTTTTGGATAGTTAAAATTTAATGTTTTGTAAAATCACTATTAAAATGTGAAATTCATGAAAAATAAATAAATAAATTTAAAAGATAACTAATATCATTTAAACTACAATTCAAGAATTAGGAATATAATTAAAAAAATAAAAAAAATTAATTTCATAAAATGTTAAATTTCAACCATTTAAAAATAAATACAAGAGTTGAGATGTGAAGTACAGAGAAACCACGTCCCTACCAACCAGTGTTTTGATTAACGTCTTCATTAGCAGAAAGATCATAACATGAGATTCCCTTGTTACTGCATACACTTCTAAGATCCTTCTTCACTGAGAAAATTTCCTCTATCATTGCATAATCATTACTCTTTATTTGCAAGAAGAAATCTTTGAAACAAAAACTATTAAATATGATATAGCTCAATGATAACTAAATGGAAGTTACATCATCAAATGTAAAGGAATTATAATATTCCCTCCCTTCATCCATCCCAATGTATAAGATAATTTTAAACAAAATAATGCATATCAATAAAGTTTATTAAATATATTTTATAACTCTATTTTTTAAATAAAAATATAAATTTTTAAAATGACATTTATTTAATCTTTTATTTGTAAAAGAATATTAAAAAGAGAAAGACTATAATAGAAAGGGTAACATTGAAAAAATCATTAATTAAACTTTATCTTTATTAAATATATTGTATTTTGGTATGCCAAATGTCCTCAAAAAATATCTAATAAATTTTACCCATATCAAAAGTCAATACTGCATTAATTATGATGAATTAATAACTTAGAGTATTTAATTGTACAGGAGGGCAAAATAGGGAAAAATATTAAATACTCTAGATATCATCTAACAACTTATATTTTAAACCAAGTAAAACAGAGAGAAAAAGACTTATATTATATAGATCGAGAGTATATGTGTTGCATGTTATTTTACTGGCCAGAACAGAACAGTAATCAATGATGATAATTTGAGTATTGACTAGTAATTATTTCCTCACAATATAATCACACTTAGTCAACGATTCCAGGCTTTGTTTCATGGGGGGAAAAAATAAATTGTAGAAGCAGAGAAACCAAGAGCCAGTAAACTTAAGATGATCACAAATTTCTCAGTGAAAGAGGGGGGGGGTATTATTCACTCACATTCTCAAAGAAATTGCACTGTTACACTATAAAATATTATTTGTGAGAGGATGAAAAGAGAGTATAGAGAAAGCAGTACAAGGTTCATGCTCATAAATGCACTCCCCCAGAATCCAATGATTTGGTTAACCCAAAAGTGATAGCCATGGCTATCCATCCTCCAACCAGAACCCTCAAACAAGACCTAACCACAGGAGTCTTTCCCAGAATAGAACCCAACCCTCCAAACACCACAAGAGCCGAGCTTGACACCAACACAATCACCATGAGCCTCACTTTGTAGTTTGTGATGAATGCAGCAGCAAGCAAAGGCACCAGTGCTCCCACAAAGAATGAGAATGCAGAAGCCAAAGCAGCCTGAAATGGATTTGGTAATTTCTTCTTCTTCTTCTCTGTCAACCCCTTTTCTTTCACATCATTCTGATCTCTCTCCATCTGCATAATCTCAACGTCATATTGAGTGTACACAGACACAAACTCTCCTATGGCCATACTGCAGGCTCCGGCAACTGTACCTGCAAAACCAGCAAGAAGCATGGCTCTCACATCTTCCTTCACAGCTCCTACACCCATCATCAATGAAGCAATCGAGACCAGCCCGTCGTTGGCTCCCAAAACTGCAGCTCGAAGCCATTGTCCCCTTTGAGAGTAATCAAAATTGTTACTTCCAGCCTCTTCACCATGACCTTTTTCATCTGCATGGTTTGGAACTGCTCCTACCTGGTTCAGTGAGACATGAACACAAGGTCCATGGGAAGCCATGTGGGAGAGTGTGAATCAACAAAGAAAGGAGAGGAAGGAGGAAGAGGTTGGGCCAGAGACTGACAGGAAGTTCAAGGGGTTTTATGTATTTAAAAAGGTATCCGGAGGTTTGGTTTGTAATTTTGACCCCAAGGAATATTTTAATGCATCCTGCTCACAAGAACGAAGGGGCAACAAGAAAAGCATTGATGATTTTCTTTAGGAGTAAACTCACATGGCTAATACTACAATGATTTAATTCTGTACATTTTATTACAATCAATTTATTATTAGCATAGTTGCTCAGTGACTTGTTGGTGGGAGCATTTTGTTCTCATCTTTCAGGTCTTGGGTTCAACTTGGCAGTGAGGCAATTGAATTGACCATTAATTTAGTTCTAATTCAATTATTTTTATTGCCATGTAATCCTGAGTTTAGAAGTAAAATGATGCATTATTTAGAATTATTATTAATATTGTGTGTTATTTACTAATCACGATTCAAACTCTCTTGTAACAAAAAAAAAAAAAGTTATTATCAAGACAACAAAATTTAAAAAATTAAATTAGATACAATCAAATTGGGAATACATTTGTAAATTATCTTTCCTTTACTCCAATCTCCTCCAGAAAATTGTTTTATTCATCAATCTGTCTCTGTGTGAAAATCCATTAATTATTTTATGTAAAAAAAAATGCAACCCCTTCATTACTGACCTTTCAATAAAATTGTTTAAGAAAATGTCAATTTTTGCACCTAATGGTGCCGCAAAGGTCACAGTAGATCTTTTTCTAGAATATTTACTTGCAATAAGTAGTTTATGAAAATAACTTTTGGCATGCACATTGAACCATATATATCTATATATAATTCCCATCTTATACACGAAAATTTGAAGGATAATATATTAATGCATGCTTTTGTATTTCTTATTCTTATTCACAACTAGCACCAATTCTTCCGTGCATTGGACGGGAAGCATATTTGTTGACACAACATCATATAGAAGATCGTGTCTCTTATTGTCATAAATATCATTTACTTTCTCGTGCATAGGAAGCATATGCTTTCATTGTAATCAATTTAAGAGAACATCATTTACAGTTAAATATCATTGAAATTTTTTTAATAATCATCACCAACAGGCATCTAAATTATATTATCGTACATATTTACAATGTTGTTAAAGATGAAGAATTAAATTTAAAAAATAGCTTCTTTAGATGTGAACAATGGGAAATTAAAAGAGCCATCAATAAGGAAATGATATTTAAAAAATCTGACATCAAGTTATGCAAGCAATCATAAAATTGTTTTATAACAAACCAAAATAGTTATAGAAGTATGTTGTGTAATACTTGATTAGATAATATTATAAAGAGATAAAAATAATACTCCTAGGTTGCCTAAAATAAAATTATATCTTGCAAAACTAAAAAAGCCATTAATATCATGCGAAAATGATACATATTCAATATTATCCAAGGTAAGGGTATGTTTGTCTAGCTCAGGAGGGAGATATGCTTCCCTCCTACAAGAATAATTGAAACTCTGTTATCACCATTTTCCTCAAAATACACCATAGTCCATTTTAAAACTAAGAAAACATACACTAAGCCAATGCTCAAAGGAATCACTATTACAAAATTGAGCATATTTGACAGTAATTTTTTTCCTATATTGATGGTTAGTCAAATAAACTTCCGGCATTTATACAATGATCATATACTTGACAATTAAACAAGTGTCAAATATATGACCCTATACTTAATAGTTATTAATAAATGTCAAGTATAATGTATCAGAAATGATCCTAGAACAAAATTTGAAGGGTATATTAGATAGTCATTTCATGTAATTGTCAAATATGCCATTATAGTTATTAATAAATGTCAAGTATAATGTATTAGAAATGATCCTAGTACAAAGTTTGAAGGGCATATTAGATAGCCATTTCATGTAACTGTCAAGTATGCCATTTTAGATAGCCATTCATGGCTATCTAAAATGGCATACTTGACAGTTACATGAAATGGCTATCTAATATGCCCTTCAAACTTTGTACTAGAACCATTTTTTATACATTTTACATAATGGTATATTTGACAATTATATAAAATGATTATCTAATATGCCCTTCAAACTTTGTACCAAGACCATTTCTAGTATATTATAATATGCATATTTGACAGTTATTCAAATAACTATCAAACATGTTCTGGTATTCTTTCTTAATGTGGCAGTTGAATTTTAAACAAAAACTGTAGTAGAATTGATAACTGACACCCAAAACATGCTATATTAACATGACATTTCATTATCGATCTGATCTACTAATGGACCAAATAATTACTCTATTTCTGATAAAAAAAGGATAAAATGATGTATTAAAAATTCACATATAAGCAATTTTTGAAACAGAGGAAACAATTTATAATGCTAACATAAATAAGAAGGCAAAATTTTTCCCACATCTTAATCAATACTTAAATGAAACACAATTAAGATACAGAATATATAAAATGGATTCCAAAGGATTAAAACTAAGATTCATACTTAATATTTAGACCCCACAATAGGATTTAACATTTTTTTTAAGGAATTAAAAGTTATAATAAATCAAAAGATGTGGAGTCTTTTAAATTGCCGCCTATTATTTTTTTTTTTAATCAAGTCTTCAACTTTATCTAGACTATCAGACTTCAACATACTGTCGTAACTTTTTATAAAGATCTCTACTCATAAAATTCAGAAAAACATAGATAGATGAGTGTAAAAATATTATGGCTAAAATTGATGTAACTACATTAAATGATCCTTGCAAAAAAATTCTTCAAAGTTGACCCTTTGATTGATGTGATAGGACAATAAACGACTGCAACCAGTCTAGTAAATTGATAATTTATTGAGGAATAGTTGGAGTCGGCTTCCTTTTAAGGAAATTTATTTTGAGTCATTCAAATTTAACATTTTTTATTATTTTATTTTATATTTTTTTAAAATAAAAAATTATATAAATTACAAAAAAATTTAAATTTAATATAAATAATTTATATTTAGTATTAATTTTTTCATAAATTGACTTTTTTAGATGTACTCTGAACAGTGTGGGTTAAATATTAATTTTTTTATAATTTTTATAAATTAAATGTGAATCATTCATATAAATTTTGAACTAACTAGATTGGTGAAATTTATTAAAATTTTTTACAATTTATGTAATTTTCTATTTTACGAAATGTTAAAAAAAAAAAAAAAAGCCTGGGTCCAGATTCTACACCTCCGCTGAGCTGAGGGAAACCGACTCCAGTTCCCTGCAAATATTTAATTACTCATAAATTCTGGATATATGTAAAATTTAACACCCATTGGTCGAAATATTCACTTTTGAACATTGTTCTGACAGTAAACAAAAATAAAAAAGCAACATGACAAAAGATAAAGTGATAAACCCACACAGTTGGATTACCTCATTCAAGACAAAAACACACCCAAGATGGAGCTGATAACTTTAATTACATGCAGACAATGATTTGCATAAATAACTGTGAGACAAGTTAAAATAACTAATATGCAAATTACCATTGAATTTGTAATCAAGAGATCATAGTTGACCATTCAATTGCCCTTTGTGGCACATAAGAGATAGAATAAGCAGTCACATACATACCATTTTAAATGACTTAAACATAACATAAAGACTGATAAAGAGAAGATATATGGAAACATAACTAAAGTTAACTTATATTAATATTTTCACTGGTGCTCGTGCACCTAATACATACTGTTCAAAAGGTTGGAGTGCCAAAGTTCTACATCCATTGGGGACAACCCATGCTCTTGCACTACATAGCCACATAAAATACAAAAAAATTCCTACCTAAAGGTAGTTCCATAATTTAAGACAAACATAATGACCTAAAACAACAGACACAGTCACACAGGACACTCCAAGCTATTGGCCTTACACTCTTGCCTCCCGGGAAGCTGAAAGAAAGCGCTCCTTGTAAGAAGGATCTCATAAAAGGTAGGATTCCAGAATACATGTGTAGCAGATACATAGCTAATGAAACTTGAATCTCTTGAAAAATGGCAGATTACAGGGGGGAAAAAAAAATATACTACACAAATCTTTAGGCCATGGGTACCGTACAGACTCAATAATTCACCTCAAGTCATTATAGCTCAAAGTGGTTCTGATATGGCAAACCTCACAAGCCCTCTAACACGACCAAGATTAGAAAATCCTTTTAAAAAAATCATCTAACTTCACCGGGCTAGAGAATTAGGACTTAATACATAACTACATACTCTTTCACCGAAATCATGATAGCTTGTGTAGATGATCCATTTTCATATTTTGATACATCAATATTTTTTTGGTAAGTCCTACATCAATATTATATAAGAGAAAACAAAGTGCCATATCCAATAATATCAATCATGGAAAGAGAGAGAATAATTCATACAAGTACAGACACTTGTAAACATAGTGCCTCATGCATGAGACAAAAAAAGAATTATATTAATATAGAAAATGGGCAACTTACCCCCGCAGCTAGGCATTCCAATATGTACACCTCTGAGCAGTTAAGAACAATTTCTGCTGCTACTTCATAAAGTCAACAATTCTGCATGATAAAATCTAAGGTTCATTATATCCATAATGTTCTTGCAAATTTTAAGTTCATATTGCAGCCCCAGCACCTTATTTCCATCATACATTAGACATTGAAGAAACATATAATTCCTATGCTACAGCATATTATGCCAAATTTCAATTTATGTTCTGTGAAGCCAACTAATAATCATTAGGAAAAAATTATGGCACTCTATAAGCCATAACTCACATGAAAAATTATCATATGAACATCCAAAACAAAGCATTCACTAAAAACGCATTTGTTCATATAGGATTGCCTTAGTGCAACTTGAGAAAGTTCCCTTTGTTCTTGGACAATCTTGCAAGATGAGAAGCCCATACATCAAAGTTCATATTGCAACCCCAGCATCTTATTTCCATCATACTATTATTACTGGGAACATTAAAATAACAAAGTATCAATCATAGCCCAGCTTCAATATTACTTTCCCTCATGAAGAGCCTATATTGCCAAAGAAAAAAATTTAAGTTTGAGGGCATACAAGGACAATGGCACAAACCATAAAATACTGCTTTGTAGTGAATGCTAATCATATGGGCAAAACCTTTGATGAGTACAATACTAATTAAATCGGCATGCAATAAGAATTTGTTCTTGGACAATCTTGCAAAATGAGAAGCCCATACATCAAAGTTCATATTGCAACCCCAGCACCTTATTTCTATCGCATTACTCCTAGGAATATCAAAATAACATAAGGTATCAATCTAAGCCCAGTTTCAATGTTTTACTTTTACTCATGAAGAGCCTATATTGCCAAAGGAAAAACCTAAGTTTGAGGGCATACAAGGACAATGGCAGAAACCATAAAATACTACTTTCCAGTGAATGCTGATCATATGGGCACAAACCTTTGATGAGTGCAATATGAATTAAATCTGCATGCACTAAGACAACACCCAAGTCAGGGTGCTATGTTTAACTATATAGATTTTGATAAAACCAATGCGGGATGGCATGTGGCTAAGACAAAAGGGGGGAAAAAACAAAGAAAGAAAGAAAAACTCTCTAGGATTCAATGGAAAGCTATAGAGGCTTCTTGATTTAGAACCAATAGAGCAAACGGGGAAAGGAGAAAGTGGGAAGTAAATAGAAAAGAGAGAGGGAGGAAGAGAATAAACTAATTATGTAATTAAGAATGATATGAAAACCATTGTACAACTGTTTGAGAGGATTACTTTTGGAAGCTCATACTTGCCAACCGAAAAAACCATCAGCAGTAGCAGATAAACATCCTCTTCTTACGCAATGTTTTTGTTGTTTCTTCCATTGATGATTGCAACCTTCTCTTGCCTGGACAATATAAAAGAGGATCACTATTGCTCAAAATACGTGTGATTGAAACTCTGACTGGAAATTCATCAAGAGTCTAAAAGCTTAAAACATTCAAAATGCAACTAAGCCATAAATGCAGTGATAAAATGGATATTTCAAAGCAAAAACAGAAAGTAGGGTTTTGGGAGGATCATTCCTTAATAAGATTTGATTATATAACATAAACGTTTGTAGCAGTTTTCAATGTAACGCCAAAAAGACCAAAATTATATAGAGATGCATTCCATATTTCTAGCCCATCAAAAATTATTGCCTTGTAGTGCAGTGCATATATATAGGAATATATCACTACCTTTATAACGTGACTGTGCTGAGGAAAGGATCATCACATTGAAATATCGCATGTTGTCTTCTGAAGGCAAAGCGCTAATTTCTAGCGCTGCACAAGCAAGCCCCATAATAAAAAATAGAATCCATATCTAACACACAAACTTGGCAAGAGGAATAAAAGAAAGAAAAAAAAAAGGATAATTTTGATTTTACAAATATTAGGCTAGATGAAATTCATATCATCACTAAATAAATGAATTTGACAAAAAGGCCCTTTAAAGATAGAGTGAGATTCTGCAGCACTTCAGCAGGGGATATTCATATTTCATTGGTACAGAAGAACAGGAACTAAGAACACCTGGATCACTCAGAAGATGCTAGTTTCTTGTTGAAATCAACCAAAACAAATGAATTACCAAAGAATACAAAAAGAACAAACTCAAATAAAAACTCAACTAAGCGAAGGAGATCAAAACAGAAAGAGGGCATAACACCCGATTAAATGTATAACTTTCAGTAAATTGAAGCCATTATTTGACATAAAATCAAACTCTGCTGAAATTCACCTTATAACTACACAATTTTTCTTTCAATCAGGTAAGATACGGCCACTTCATCAATCTTTCCAACAGCAGCTTCTTCTCCTCCACATCGAGCTCCCTCAAGTCCCCCAATTTCTGTTTGCCTTGTAAATCCTTGACAATGCCTCTACAAACTTATGCGTATCTCTCCACTGTGACCTGCTTGTCTTCACTCAATGACGCTGTTCCTACAAACACATTCTCATAAAATCGAAGAAGCCAAAAATCAAAATCACTTGGTAGATCTAGAGTCACCAGAAGCTGGCCAACAGCACAAGCAATGGTGTTTGCATCTGAATACAAATGGAGGAGGAAGCAATGATTGGAGTAAAAGATGTGAAAGCATAATAGATGAAGCTGGGAATGCTGAATGCAGAGCTGCAGGAGAGAACAGAGGGGGTGGGAGGAAGAGAAAAAAGGAGAGAGGAAAAATGTTCCTGTCCTCTGGAAAAACGGGAAAGCAGAGGTGAGATGTAGACACTGACCTCAGCCAGTGTTATTTTTTTAAAAGAAATTTTAAAAATATGCAGTTTAGAAATTTAAAAGAAGAAAGAAGAGGAAAATTTTCCTGGAGTCAAACATGTAGCACGCAGCCTGAAATTTTCTCTGAGCCATGGCTCTATAAACAGTAAATATGGCTTTATGAACAGTGAAATAAGTGAGGAGCCACCATGAGCCATCTTTCAGATTTGGCTTCTACCATTTTGTTATATATGATGCATTGAGATTGATAGGAAGCCCCTTTATACAAAGCATCTCACAGCAAACAGATTCCGTACTCCTTGTTCCTAGTCAACAGATATTTGGTCCATCAAAATAATCCAAGAAACACAATGCATTTCATGTCTGTTATCACAATTAAACGCTTTAAAACTAGGAATATCAGAAATAATAAGACCTTAATAAAAGCTTGAAAGCAAGGATACCATATACAAGAACATAAACAACTTTTTTGTTCCTTAAGATAAAGCCAGATAAACATACAACTTCATAAAACTTTTGTTACAGAATTTGCGATTATTGCCAACCTGTTATTTTTGCTGTGTTATCAATTGCAGTTTAGGAGCACCCATGTTTCTGTGCTAGGTTGCTACCATTAAGACTTGAACTTGCTATCCACTTAAAGGATGCTTGTCTGGAATTTCACTGACTTCCCATATTCTCTTGAATAAATTCTTCTGTTTTTTATATTGGACCCATTTTCTTTTATTTGGTTTTCTAACTTTGTGTTTCTATGCTTTATTAAGGAACTTTAAACTTAAGAAGTCCAATTTTTAATCCCCTGACGTATGGCTAAACTTCCAAATATATTTATTTTAATTTAGTCTCTCAATTATTATAACAGTTTTAATATTGCCCTTCCAGTCTATTTTCGTCCAAAATCCGCTATGTTATCCTCCTCCCATCTTCTCCGGGGTAATAATTTCCTCCTAATAATTTTTAAGTCAATAGACCATGGTCTGATGATAAATTTTGGTTGGAAGGGCAACAAGCAAACATTCCAGAACAAAAATTTGTCGGGTACCGAATTGAAAGTCCACCAGTTTATCAAGGATGAAAATAGGATTTTCTTCTAGGCTTTTCATTTCCCCATTTTCTATGTTATAGATCTATGTTTAAGTTAAAGGATTGCTTTCAAGAGCATTTTGATTGGGACAAGACTTATCCTATGAAGTTAATTAGCTCTCTGTTATCAAGTTTAATAAAAAATAGGAAAAATTAATCATTTGGTCCCCATAGTTTTGACCAAGTTGTGACTTAATCCCTGAACTTTGACTCGTTGTAACTCAATTCTTATAGTTTTAACTTGGCTGTAACTTAGTTTCTAAACTACCTCTTGTAATTTAGTCCCTATTGTTTCAACTACTTAAATATTAGTCCTTATATTTAAAAAAAATTATAAAGATTAAAAATATTTTGAAGTTTTAATATTTATACTTATAATATTTAAAGATTAAAAGATTAAAATTATAATATTTTGAACTTTTAATATTTATAATATTAGTACTAAATTTTTAAATTATTAAAGCCTTTTAATCTTTATAAATATTAAAAGTTCAAAATATTTTTAATTTTTATAATTTTATTTTTAATATTTTAGGGATCAATATTTAAGTTGTTGAAACTATAGGGACTAAATTGTAAAAGGCAAAGTTAAGGGACTAAGTTACAACCGAGTTAAAACTATAAGGATTGAGTTACAACGAATCAAAGTTTAGGAATTGAACTATAATTGAGTCAAAACTATAAGGACCAACTGATTAATTTTTCCTAAAAACTAACATTTTTCCATCTTTACAATTTATTATCCCTCTATCAACATATTCAACAGAGTTCCTCCACGTGTCTTGCTTCTATTTAAGGACTTGATAGCAAATATCTAAGTACTACTCAAAATTTGCCTTAAGTCTAAGGAACCTTTATCTCTACAAATAAGTTTCATTGATCACAGACCCTAAAGCCAAATAATATGTGAAGCCTATAATGATATCAGGCAACCAACAAGTATTGCTTAACTACTATTTAAACGTTAGGAAATATAAGTAAAGTGTATATTAATGAGTGGCAAAGAAGCCCCAAAGTATGAATGGACTAATCATGAAAGCAAGCAACAAACCAAGATCAATCATTGCATCAGAAAGCAAGAAGCTAAAAGATCCCACAAAAGCCCCAGTGAATCATCAGAAGCATCATAGTCCAGGATGCTAACGCCTAGCAAATCCATCAACGAATCCACCCAGACAAATGTTCCAAAATGTGAATGCCACAATCATATAGAATATGAATGCCACAATGTGTGTATGTGAATTCAATCACCAAAAAAACAAATAGGCTGGTTTTTGCCAGATTCAGTTCTTTTAGTTTGGAAATGTATGTGATTCAATTTAATCCATCAGTTATTCAGCATACCTTGCTACAAGAACAAGACTCTAGAAGCATAAGGAATACCTAACAAATTAAAATATTTAATTGAGACAGTTTAATTAAATAAAAAAAAAATCAGACCAGAATGAGAAATAGTTTCTTTCAGAAAACAGAACAATTCTCTCTCCATTTCACAATTTCCTAAAAACCTAAATCTGCTCCCAATGAATATGTTAAAACACCTGCAAGAATCATCAACCTAATAGAATCAGAACTTTCTGAAGTGGAAAGCCACATGACCAGGAAACGGCAAACAGACTAAAGAGCATCACTATACTGTCCAACAATATTAAATCATGGTAGGGATTGGTTGATCGGAATTGCAGTATTTTCAGAGTATTGCATCAGTCATGATCACCAAACTCCTTCCTAAACATTTTCCAAAGTCATCCATAACACAATTTCAGGGTATAGTGACTTTAGCCATCACACATTTTTCTTGGCCAAAAAGAAATCACACATTTTCCAAATATCTTTTTCCTATCAAGGCTAAATGTCTTTACATGATAAAAAGAGGGAAAGCAAAAAATATAGATCATACAGTTAAAATGCAGCATCATTGATATATTCATAATAAGTTTGCCCAAAATTAAAGTTCCTTGAAAGAACACAAAAATTTGAACTGGAAATATCATGATCTACTTTCAATTTTATACAAGTTTATTGTAGTCTCTAGCGTCTCGTCAACTAGTTGCTGGGTGCTTTTCTTATAATCCTCAATGACAATTTCCATTCACATAACCTCTGCTCTTGGTTACAGACTAATCCTCATTGTGTTCTAGATTAGATTTTGTTCATGCCCATAAAATTAAAAGTGCCAGAACAATAGCATAATTTTAGAGATAATAATAGACAGAAAGAACATTAGTGTTATGATTTTATAATAATGACATTGGTTAGTTGTATAACCATTAATATGTGTGGCCATCAGTAGCCGTTGGGTATTATTCCTATTCCAATAAATACCCTACAACTCAAATAGTGAACTCTATGATTGATCAATGTAGAAGCTTGCCCACTATTCAGCATATCCTCTCTTCTATCTCTCTAATTCCTATTCCTCTTAATTTCTCTCTGTCTCCCCTGCCTTCCCTGTTCTTCTCTCAATTCCTTCTATTCTTTCCTAATCTCTATCAGTCAGAATTATCATCATACATCAATTAGCAACCTAATCTAACTTTTGATCTAAACAAGAAGATAATACTTTTCTATCCCCATTTCCAATTAAGACAGTTCTTAGAAATGTTTGCCTTTAGGGGAAGATGCATGCCAAAGAAGCATAAAATGGCCAACTTAATGCCTTAGATAACATTCTCTACTTCAAGGAACACTAGAAAGGAGCCCCAGGAGCAAAACCCTACGTATCAATATAAATCTCATGATAAAGGATTTTGGTTTACCATCTGAAATGAAGTTTATCATGCAACCTCTTTCCCTGTCGTAGCGTTGTTTTAGGAAAAGCAGCCAATTTATGTCTGTTGTGTATTCTTTCCCACACATTGCAGAATCTGCTTGCTAGTGACTAACATCAATGCTCACCAAGTTCTTTTACATGTTAGAACAAGCTCTTACCCCCCACCTTCAGACGCTCTTCTCCAGTCTCTTCTTCAGCATCATATTCAGCTATGCACTAAATATCTTTTGAATCAGTCTTCACATAATTCCTTCCATTCACGCTTAGATAGGTCCTGAGACAATTCATGTCCACTAAAGAATCACTCTAAAATGTTCACACTTCTTAAACCCCCTTATCTCTTTGCTATGAAGTACAGCCAATAGAAAACAGTGCCCTGCCCAGGATCAATATACGGACGCTCGTGTTATACACAACATGGCATTATCACTATATGACACTATAAGTTAGAACTCAACATATCAAATTTGGTTCCATCACTGTGTTCGTGTCAATGACATACCCTGTGTCTATGGTAGTGTGTATGCTTTCTTGATTCTTTAGCAGTCAGATCTTTCATTACAAATCAATATTGGAAGCTCCAATCTTCCAAGTACCTAAATATCTCGCATTCAATGAGCAACAGTTCTCAGAAATCCTTGGAGAACTATAGTATTCATTTACCAATCAATGTGAGCCCTTGATCATCAATAACCCTCATAGCTTATGTCTTGAGATGATCATTCAAAATATATTAATCTCTGTTTGCTACTAAACCCAAAGGCAACGCACTGTTTAGTCATCACATTTCACAGCCTTCCCCTCCAGCCAAATAAGCTGCCTCAATCACCTCCACCACAACTTGCATCCTTAACCACGGTCAAATAACTTCGTGGAATTTCCACCATCCAATACCTTAGATATTCCCTTTTCTAATCAAACCGTACACCTTATCCTGAGTTCTCCACTACTACTCACATTTCTGGATTGCAATCTCGGGAATCTAGCAATCCACACGTACAGAAAATTCGGAGCCCAAGCAGGCATAAAAAGCACGGAGCATCATCTCTTTTTGCCCCCTTTTTGTCTTGAAAGGAGCATCATTTTGGTAATTCAAAAAAGTTATGAACAGAGTGCTGCCAGCCACAACCCTGTATATGACTTTAAAAAAAAAAAAAAGAAAAAAGATGAGCACATTTGGCAATATTCGTTGAAATGACAAGGTTCTCGAGTCTGATCTTAGCCTACAGTAAAAAAGCCAATCCTGAAGCCACAAGCATGGCACTCTGTCAAATAGGGCAGGACCCTTGTTTTCTTCTGCAATGGAGGATTGGAATTGGAATGCACAGGACTTTCAGCTTACTCAGATATTTCGGAACTGTAAAACTCAAGAGGATTCTATGGGTTTAGTAGCATTTGCTTCTTCGGTTGATTGAGCTTCATCTTCATTCTTCATCGTTGGGCAAGCCTGATGAGACTGAGCAAAATTGTGAACAGGAAAGTTGGATCATCCGGGTATTGCAGCGGGCACATCGGCCGGCGATGAAGATTTTCGTTTTAGGGTTTTGCGAGAGGCGCCAATTTTCCAATTCGTCGGGAGTGTACACAAACCACGCGCTATTCCTGCGAGTGAAACATATTTAAAGATAGGGAGAGATGAGAACCAGTGCAGATGACAAGATGAGATTCTTACCATCGTTCTTACCAATCTTAAAAAAGAAACGTGTGATTCACGCTCTAACCACCCCTTATCGTGGGAGGGTGGTTATAAGGAAAGATTGATTTATTAAACTTCTTATTTAATTTTTTAGTTTTATTTATAAATTATTTTTAATATTTTTATTGAAATTAAAAAAAAAATTTCAATCTCATTATTTTTGCTTTAAAATTTAGATTACGATATAATTTTACTCTTAAATTATTTGTGGAGAAGTGTTGTCCTTAATATTCCTCCTAGTAATGTTATTCTCACTATTTTAAACACAATAATGTCTATTATATGAAGCAAGTGGGTTGCATTTATTTGGTACATGTGACAGTGAGTTATTCCCTCAATTGATGACGTGGCGCAAATGAAAGAGAAAAGCACTCTTCCCCCTTCCCCCTCACGAGCTCACCCACCTTGGTATGAAATGCATTCTTCCTTATTTCTCTCAAACTCTCTTATGGTGGTGGTGCTCATTTTCTCCTCATTGATCCTTTCTTTCTCACTTCTCAACAAAACCCTAAATAGCTTTAGACTTTCTCCATTTGTTGTAATTGTTGAATAAGTGTGTCAAAAGAAGAAGTTTCACATTACTCACATAACGAGAGCTCTTAATAAGGAATGAAATGGGTTTGAAGGAGAATTAGACTCGTGTACATTAGACAGGCCTACACAGGGAAATTATAGTTGAAAATAATTGATTTGCCCCCTTGTGCATGAGTTAAAAAGGCAATAGGTTCTTTTTACTGGGTTCATTTTTGCAAAATTATTAAATTAATTTTGTAAAATATGCTTACATGAAAGTCTTTGAATTTGGTGTTTTAGAATTCAAATTCTTCAACAATGTTTTGAATTCCCATTAACAAGAGAATATTTTTAAATTTAAAACCCAAACTGATTTTTTAATATGCCAACATTCAAAAACTTACAAGTAAATATGCATTATGCAACTTTATGGTTTTGAAACTGCTTGTTAATTGTGTGTTGAGGCCAACTATGGGTGCAACTGTGTTGGGTTTATAGATATCGAGGATCCATATGAGTTTAGTGCCTGGCTTTTGAGTTTTCAAGCTGATTCTATCCTCTTCCTTCGTGCTGGTTGTGCTGTTTAGTTGTTTTTTGTTAGTTTCTATTGTTCTGTTGCTTTGACTATTTTTGTAAGACAAGTCTATTTAATTATGGGGAGCTATCATGTGGAAGAATCTGTGTGCTGGAATAACTTTTAAGGATAGTGTATTTCGGCACGACTCAGACTAAAAATAGCCACTTGCTACCAATGCCTTCTTCACCTACCACCATCTTCTCCCTTTCCTCCTTTTCTTCACAACTAGATCCACATGTTCCTTCTCGCATTATTATATGACTAATCTAATCTAGCCCCACTTTCAAGTCCTCCATTAGAAAACCCACTAGCTCCTTGCTTTGTTTGTTCACTTTTGTTAGCTTTCAGCCTTGCTCACAGAAAAATGCCACCCCTATTGCTACCCAACTTCCCCAATGGTTGTGTTAGAGTCTTCTACCATTTGATCTCTTAGAGAAGCTCCTTGCGTCCTTGCTTGAAATACTCATTTGCAAATTCCCATTTGTCAAGGACTATCTTTTGAAATTCCTAAGAAGCACCAAATCAAACATCCATGATGCATGTTGGACGCCATATGGCACTAGTTGGTCAAACTTCTTACTCTCTCACCATGTAAACAATCAAACGTTTGTGTTTTAAACGATAAGAGTAACATTGCTTTAATTTAATTAGTTTAAGAGAAATATTGCTACAATGAATAGTTTAGGGAAAACATTACTAGTTTAGAGGCAACGTTGCATCTTAACCCAAAATTTTTTTCATTTTACTCCTATTAAATATATATTTAAAAAATAAAATACTATAGCATTTAATAACATTCTTAAATTTTAATAAGGTTAGAAAGGTAAATATACATACAATAATCATTGAGATGCCTTATAAATAAGACCAAATCATATACTCTTTTTCTGATCTATAAATGGAACTAGAGGAGTATCTATGTGATTTTATGTATAAATTACTTTTAATTATCTTAGCAAAATCAAGTAAAAAAGTTAAAATTATTGAAGAGTTCTAAAAAATAAAAAATAATTTATTTTTATTAAATGAATTATTTTAAAAAATTATAACCATACATCAAATAAGATTGTCACTAATAAACTAAAATTGATACCAAGTACCTTAATTTTAATTGAAAGGCTTAAAGGAGTGCTACTTTGGTTCTTCATATAAGACAGTGTTAATAAACTTCATGCTTGTTAAGAAATGCAAGTTACAACTTTGAAATTGTAAACAAATGTTCAACCTTTCAATTTTACTATAAATTATTGCTTAGAAATTCAAATGACAAAAAATAAACAATAAGTAAAATTGAGAAAAAAATATTAATTAGTCTAACTTCGTCTTATTTTTAATGGTCAAAGGGAATACATTTTAATCTAGATCAAGTTGCATAAGACCACAAAGAATATCAAAGTTATCCAACTGAAGATTTAATACAATTGCATTCTCAGAACTCGAATTTGAAACTACTAATTAGATTGGTAAAACTCCTACTAGTTGAATCAAATTAACGACAGATGATCAAAGGAGTTTATCATGTCTTAGGTCTGGCATTTATGTGCAATAATTATTGTATTATAATTATAACTAAAATTTATGGTCTGCTCAAAATGACAATGCAATCTCTCAAAAATAATTGTAGAGTCCATATAAATAATTTTCTATGTAGATGTTTGATAAAATCGTACCTTGTTCTTCTAAAAAGAATATTTAATGGATACACACACATTACTTCTTAGTTAAATTTTGGTTTTTGTTTTAATAAAATGCAACCGTAATATATGAAGATAGAAACGTAGGCTAAATAACGTTGCTGTCAAGATATTATGTTGAAGATGGGAAATATCGGATTCCATGTCGCTTTCAAAATTCAATGGAATACCATAAGCTGCCCAACGGAAGCATGTCAAACCATCCAAGTTCCAATAATTTTAAAGAACATTTCTAATTTTAAAATTGATATTAAACAATACATACTATATAAAGCCAACATTATCTATTACTATATTGATTTATTGACGTGATATTCATATAAAATCAAAGCATCCTTCATTATCAATTGTAAATTGGTAATGATATTCGTAAGCGTTGAAGGACACCGATCAATTAAAGAAGATAAAATAAAATAAAAAGATGATGGACTCTAGAGTTATATGGAGAAGCAAGCTAATGGTGGTGATTAAGAAGTCATTTGGTTATTGCAAAGAATGTGAATGGAATGAATAAAAGAAATAAAATAAAATCTTCATTTTAACACAACAAGTTGATTGTATTCATAAGAAACCTGATATTATAAATGTGATAATTATCATATCCTCCACAAATCTCACAAATTGTGACTCTAAATAACAAAATTACTCATCTCCCCTCATGAATAGAACATGGTTGACCTATCTGTTATTCATCTTTTATTGTTTTGTTTTTTATTTATTTAAAATAATTTATTTTCATTCTTTCCAACAAAACAGCTCCTAAATGCGGGGTGGTGAAATAAGAAGGTCATAGAATATCCTACCTACAAGAATCAGCTTGGGAAGGGGTTAACATAGTATTAATAAGGGAGCTTTGGTGTTTTATGTTTGTGTGATCTGTGTAGGAAGAAAGGGTGTAGTGTGAGAGCAAAAGTGTTATTGGGTGTGTTTGGTTTCTGTATTGAAAAATTGTTTTCCATTTTTAAAAACAAAAAAATTTAAAAAAACTTGTTTAGATAAGTATTTTGGATTTAATTGTTTTCAAAATTGTTCTTATTTTTTGTTTTTAAAAGCAAAAAAATGAAAATATCTTATAATTAAAAATGAGTAAATTATTTTTGTCTGCTTTTATATTAAGTAATGATACCTATCCTTTATTTTTTGAAACATATATAAACATTTCTTAGTATGGATAGTTATAAAACCCTATAAAAATAAATTATTAATATGAAACTTATAATTAAAAAAGAGTAAAATATTTTATCTATTTTTATCTTAATTAATGATACCTTTTTTCTATTTTTTGAAATATATATGAACACTTTTTAGTATGGATAGTTATAAAATATAAGTCTTTTTTTATTTTTAAGATTTTTTTTCATCTACCTAACTATTAATTGACTATTTAGTCAGATGTCTTGGACTAAAATACTCCTATTTAAATATAAATATTATCTAAAAAATTTAAATTACCAAAAAATTTAATTTTTATTATTTAAATGTATTTATCTGTAGCTTTTTTAAAGAAAATTAAATATATAAATTGGCTAAAAAAATTCAAAGACATAGTTTATGAGCTCAATAAAGAGAAAAATAAAATAAAATAATTTTAATAATTTGGGATATTTGAACTAGTTTAAAAAAATTTGAAAGCTAGAGGTGTTAAGACTCAAGTTTGACCATAAATTTTTTATATATTTAAATATTTTACACTTAGTATGAATTGAGGCTCTAAGAAAAATGAAGAGAATGTAATATTTTAATAAATATAATTTTTAAAAAATTAAAATAGTGCGGTTTAAAAAAATGGTGTGTGAGAGTTATTACTAAAAAAACCATAAGTGGGGGCCAATGTTTATAAATTTTAAAAATTTAACTAAGGTGTAAAAATTATAAAATTTTTATATTTTGAGAGATCATGTATAATCCATAAAAAAAATTGCAATGAATAAAAATTTTTTAATAAAAATAATAGGTGTTAGATATGTAAAGAAATTACCATTGGTGAGAAAAAATGATTGTAGGACCTGTAATTTAATTAATAAAATTTATTTATGTAGGATAAGAAACATTTTTCATATAAATTTGCATTTGTAAATGCTAAAATTTTTGATAAGGTGTAAAAAAATAATAATATTTTTATATTTTAAAAAATCATATAAGATCTATAGTAAAAATTGTAGGTGAATATAATATTCTTAATAAAAATAATAGATATTAGATATGTAACAAAATTTATATGGAATAATACGATTTAGATAAAAATAATTTTCTATATATTTATTATTAATTGAGTGTAAGAAATTAAAATAGTTTATTTGAGCATATATATAATAATTTTTTATTTATATTCTTCAAATGCATAAAGTATAAAAATTCATTATTCTATTGTTTATATGTAAAAGTTAATTATGGTTTAAGCACTTATGAAAAATATTGATGTATTTATGTGCCTCAAGTCTAAGCAAAAAAAAAAAAATTATGGGCTATAAGTTAATTATAAAATATTAATAATTTTATCTACCACTATATACATAATCTTTTCTTAATAATCATTGCGTTACTTGTAATGTTTGTATATATGATTGATAAATGATATCAAAACGTGAATCATATTATTTGCTTGATTTAGAATCATTATAATTATAAATTATAAATAATATTATCACATAAATTATAGTATGACTCATTATAGTATATATTTTATTTTCTTAAGATGATACATAAGGCAACACATTTTGGAAAAAAAAAACAAGCTATATTATATTTCAAATTGCAGGAGGTGAGAAATTAAAAAAAATATTTTTAATATATATATATATATAAGTATCACAATGCAAAATAGAAACTGTTTTTCATATATATCATCCTATTAAAATTTTAGTCTCATACTTATTAAATGTGGGAATACCTTATGACACAAAAAAGAGTAAGAAGTTATTCCTTAAAATTTAACTTACATGGGACAATATATTATAAAATAAAATAAGTCATTGTTTGTATTTTTAATATGTAAGAACATAAAAAAATTTAAAATAAAATATTCCTTAGATTTTAATTTGCACAAATTGATAAATTATAAAGTGAAATACACTAGCATCCCTTTGTTTTATTAAAATTGTAAAAGACTTCTTCTTTATTTTTAAAACTTATACTTTAATCTTATTTTTAATATGGTGAGAAATATTATGTTAAATATTCTAAAATATTTAATTTATTATTTTTATTTATGTTGAAAAAATTTAAATTATTAATTTATCTCTATAATCTATTTGTTTATCCTCTCACTTTCTAATTTCAGGCATTTCAAACAATTGTTGGCCACAAAAAAACTTTTAATGATTAAGTATGATAATAATTTAAAAATATTTGACCAAAATTATAAAATTTAAATAAAAATAGACATAAATTATATTGACTAATTTATCACTTTTGTCATTAAGTTTTTTTCCTGCATTTATGTGTTTGAAATATTATTTTAGTAAACTTATTCCATTTATTAAAAAATTTAAGGTATTTTTTAGGGATTATTTCTTAGGGGTTGGATATTAAAAAATAAAAGACATTTTTAGTATTTGAAGGTATAATTATTTCCTTTTCTTCCATGAGTATCCCCAATGAATGAATTATTTTATATTTATTTTAAAATAAAACACCCAATTGAAATAATAAATATGAAAATATGATATTATTTTAAAGACAAGTAACTACTTTATTGGGATAAAATTCAGTTAAAAATATCTTACATTTTTTAAAAAGATGAAGTATGTATTTAATTTTTTTAAAAATACTAAATAAATTAGTTTGCATGACTAATAAATTCAAAATAAAAATAAAAATTTAAAAGAATATATCAAGATTGGAATTTTAGCCCAATATATGTGACTTAATTATTAATTAATAATTGGATGAATAAAAATAAAAATTAAAAAATAGAAGACATATTTATATTTTGTAACTCATAACTATTGATTTTAAGAGGGATTTGTATATATTTTTAGAATAAAAAAATCTTTGTAATTAAGATAAAATAAAGGAAAAAGTAATATATTTTACTTTAAGGATGTTAAAATAATTTCTTAATATTTATATTTATTTTTATTTCTTAAAAACTAAAGCATTCCCATAAAAATATTTCGATAGATCGAATGCATCACGTTATTTATAGTTTATCTAATGAAGGTATGACATTTAGATGGTATTAAATATAAATTAATTTTCATATTAAAGATAGTAGAGAAAGGAATTCAAAAAATCAAACATACATCCTATTATAAAAATAAAAACAATTAAAAAAATATTAACAATATTTTATTTAAATATTTGGAGCACTTTAATTAGACATATTATAAATGATGTAATTCACTAGATCTACCTAAATATTTATTCATGCATCACACATGCTATAAATCTAATTATGTACTTCACTTTATATATTTAAAATTATTTTTTAATTAAATCAAAATATGTAGATCTTTTATATATTATTTATTCAATAACAAGTTGTTGTTGTTGTTGTTAAAAATTTGTTAAAAAATGATGTACATGAGCAAAGTGTTAATTTGTTAAAAAATATTACATGTTCTTAAAATATCATGTCATTTAAATTCTCTACATTAAAAATAGTTGAGTCAGAGATCCGAAGAGGTTTGGCCAAAAAAACAAAAAAGAATAAGAGGGAAAGTAAAAATATAAATAAAAAGTACCTTCATGAATAGGAAAATAAGAAATATAGTAATATTCAAGAAAATAAAATTAACTAAGCAGAATGTTATTAAATTATTTGAGGAATTGCATAATGTTGAGAAAAGCTTCTATTTTTTTATTTAAGAAGTACTTCCCATCTTAAATTATAAAAAAATTTAAAAATATTTTATTGTTTAAAAATATAGGATAATTTAATAAAAATAAAATTTTATTAATAATATTTTTTAATATTATTGTGAAAATAAAATTGAAATGATAATAATATAATAATTCGGAATATAAGTTTAAAGTTAAAGTAAATGAAAAACGTTTTTAAATGTTTATATTTTCATTTTAAAAAATATATAAAATATTATGATTAATTTTTATTGCATAATTTTATCTTAAAATATTTTATAATTTTAAACAAGAATTACTATTAATAAAATGACCAAACGTCATTTTGTTTGCAAAAATTTTTTCGTGGTTTTTTATTTTATTTTTTTAAAAAGACCAAATGTCTAATAATTTTTCAGTAATCTGTGAAGCCAAGAATTGTGATTGGGGGAAACTCTTAGGGGGCCCAATCAAGAGATTCCACATAGCAGAATCACATGGGATGTTCCACGTCAGCGGAATCTTACTGTGCAACACATGCATGCAGCACTATTCTTCAATCAACATCGAAAGCGCGTGGCTTCCACACCTATAATTACCAGCCTCCTCTTCCGCAAGCTTCGTCCTGCATCCCGAGTCTCTTGCGTTGCGGCTATTCACGCCAAAACACACACGCGCTCTGCCTCTTCTCTTTGAAACATTCCACGCATTGCAGGTTTTCTCTTCTTCTTCATCCTCTTTCGTCAGATCTGGGTTTTGCCGAGCTACGTTCTACTTAGCTCATTTCATAACTGTTCGATCGACTTTATCACTGACCCAATCTTGCTTCTCAGGCCGTTTCTGCCAGTTGTTATCGGGAAGTTGATATTGACAGGCCCACTTTGTCGGAAGCTGGTTTCAATCGAAGGAAACTCAGCTTGGAGCTTCTCTCTTTAGCCGATTGAACCCTGACGTTAGGTTTATCTTTTTAGCTTCAATTTTAATTGATTTTGTTTTATGCGGTTCAGTAATTTAGTCTGATAAGTGAGTTTCCTGAATTTCCGATTGAGATTATATCCGGCATTCTTGGAATGCTTAGATCTGTATGCTTAATTTCTTCGTTTGATTGGTCAATTTGAGTGAATTTGTTTCTGGTTTCTTCTGCCCTGGAAATTAACTTTCTAAGCTTAATTTTGTAAAACGGACGTAATTTGTTTGAATTGAAACGCACATTTCAGAGAATTCGTACTTATTTAGAGGCAATTCATGGTGTCTCGGGCGTTGTTTTGTGGGCTAACTGCCTCAATTTAGGCCTTTTTTTTCCCCGCTTCCTTTTAAATTATATTGCTCCCGGAGGAATTCTTTTAAAAGAAGTGAGAATGGGATATGCATTGCTTGCTTACTCTTTCCCTCATATTAAGGTTTGGTTTTATGTCTAAAACCCCTAGCTGCCCCATTTTCATTTGCAGGTTTCTGTCCTTCGCTCCATATTTTGTTTGCATTGTTAGTTCTTTTACTGAAAATCACTCCTGCATTATGTGTCTTACAGGTCATTGTTGTGCAACGACCAGCAAAATGGACAGAAGTGTTGGAATTATGGGTGAAGAGTTGAGCGTCTTCAGAGCAGTTGAACCATTGTCTGAGGATTTTGATCCAACGGCGGTGATTAAAGATCCTGTACCACCAGTAGTTGAAAATAATGGGAGTGTTGATGCGATGACCATGATGAGGGATGATAAAAATAAAAGAGAGATAGTGCTAGGCAGGAACGTTCATACCACATGCTTGGAAGTTACGGAACCAGATGCTGATGATGAGATGACAGGGGACAGGGAAGCTTATATGGCAAGTGTTTTGGCTAGATACAGGAAATCTCTGATGGAAAGGACAAGGCATCATTTAGGTTTGATAATGTCTCCTCTTACTCTAATTGCTTTCTTAGGTGCATTTCTGATGTTCATGTTGTTGTTTTTGATGTGTAATGCAAATGGTTGGTGATGGGAAATCCCTTATTTTGTAAAATCTGAGATTCTGGTTATCTCAGAAGAGCTTCAGGGTGTTATCTAACAGTTAGCTGAATATAGAGATATGAAGTAGACTAGTAGAGCATTTTTTGGCAAAAAAAAAAAAAAAAGACTAGTAGAGCATTTTATTGCTGAATGCATTTTCATTTTTGATAAAGAGTACTTCATTCTTTAGAGGAAACTAAGAAAATGTTTATGATCTTTCATGCTCAGGGAATTTATCATTTAATAATCTACAAAATTGCATTCATATAATTTTTGCTTCCTGGTTGGCTAGAATTTGAATGAGTTTGAGCTTTTGAAGTTCAGATTTTCTGATATAAGCCTGAGGTCTTTTTTTCCCCTTATTTATTTATTTTTACTTTATGAACTACCTATTGCAGGATATCCCTATAATTTGGATTTCGACTATGGTGCCCTTGCACAGCTGCAGCACTTTTCAATAAACAACTTAGGAGATCCATTTATTGAAAGTAACTACGGCGTCCACTCACGGCAGTTTGAAGTAGGTGTTTTGGATTGGTTTGCCCGATTATGGGAGATTGAGAAAAATGAGTACTGGGGTTATATAACAAACTGTGGCACCGAAGGGAATCTTCATGGCATTCTTGTTGGGTTAGTTTCATAAATTTTAACTAGGATGATATCTTATATATTAGTGAAATGAATGCCTAATATGGTGAAAATACCTTTGCAGGAGAGAGGTTTTCCCAGATGGGATTCTGTATACCTCACGGGAAACACATTATTCTATTTTTAAAGCTGCTCGGATGTACAGAATGGAATGTGTGAAAATTGACACACACTGTGCCGGGGAGATTGATTGTGATGATTTCAAGGCCAAGATTCTTCGTAACAAAGACAAGCCAGCAATTGTAAATGTCAATATAGGCAAGTTTCTGCCTCCCTCTCCCCCTCCCTCCCTCCCTCCCTCTCTCTGTGATTGTAGCGCTTACACTTGAATCCCTGCAGGCACAACCGTCAAAGGAGCTGTGGATGATCTTGATCTAGTAATAAAGACACTTGAAGAAGCAGGATTTTCACATGACAGATTCTACATCCACTGTGACGGAGCTTTATTTGGTCTCATGATGCCTTTTGTCAAACGAGTAAGTGTTGAATATGCTCCATTTTGCTTCCTTTTACCAGTTAATCACTAATTTGGAACACGGAAATTTGGTTTATACACACTGCTGATCTCTTTTATGTGGCTTCTAGTTCTACCTTCAACCTGATATAACTGACTTGACGACTTTGGTTTTCTTTTTGGGAAATTTGCAGGCTCCAAAAGTTTCCTTTAAGAAGCCTATAGGCAGTGTAAGTGTTTCTGGCCACAAATTTGTAGGGTGCCCTATGCCTTGTGGTGTGCAAATTACAAGATTGGAGCACATCAATGTTCTCTCCAGGAATGTTGAGTACTTAGCTTCTAGGGATGCCACAATCATGGGCAGCCGAAATGGCCATGCTCCCATCTTCCTCTGGTACACCTTAAACCGAAAGGGATACCAGGGTTTCCAGAAAGAAGTACAGAAATGCTTGAGGAATGCACATTACCTGAAAGATCGGCTTAGAGATGCCAGGATCGGCGCGATGCTTAACGAGTTGAGCAGCACAGTTGTGTTTGAGCGGCCTCATGATGAGGAGTTTACTCGCAGGTGGCAACTTGCATGCCAAGGCAATATTGCTCATGTTGTGGTGATGCCAAACATTACAATTGAGAAGCTTGACAAATTTCTGGAGGAGTTTGTGCTGAAACGAGCCGAGTGGTTTAAAGATGGCAACTGTCAACCTCGCTGTATTGCATCAGATGTGGGTGAAAAGAGTTGCCTTTGTGCCTTACACAAAGAGAACTGAGGCTAGGCATGTTAGAACTAGGTAATAGGATACTTGTAGATTTTGTTGTTCTTTGTTTTGTTGTGTGAGTGAGGCTTTGACGGAAATGTCATACAATGAATATCGCATTTACAATCTTCTGTTCTCCATGCTTTTCTGGCACTTAACAGAGATATCTTGGTTTATTTATACTCCAGGATCTGTTTATAAGTTATTTCCGATATATTTCATTGAAATAAAAAAAAAAATCTAAATCTCTTAATTCAATCTAAAAATTACACAAGTTTACAACTCTGCTTTATTAAAAATATATATACATTAATAATATATTTTCTCTTATATTTTAGGAGCCACTGTTTAACAATGGAAGCTATTTTGGGTTCCATTAGGAAAAATTAGAAACAAGGGCTTAAAAATTTGAACTCAATCTTGTCTTGTTTTAAGTTGGTAATTCTAGAATTTTGAATTAACTTAAAAAATTCATAACATGTTCCAGAAATATTAGATTGAGCCCATTCTTGTCTTCTTTTAAAGATAAATGAGTCATATATAATAGGGAAAATTTTAAACTTCACTTCTACTTAAACAATTAATATTGCATATTCATTAGATTGCTTTGTTTTCCTTTTTTTCAACATTCCACAGTTTTTGCCTTAATTTTGGAAATTCATATCTCAAGTTATAGAGATCCAATTGAGGGGAGCTCTGACTTTTTGGAAATCTTATGATCTTATGTATGAAAAAAAAAAATAAAATAAACAGGACATTATCTCGTCCCCTTGATACATGTAAATGAATTAACAAACTATATTCTGCCTTTCAAACGAATTAGTTCAGAATTGGTTCCTTATCTTGAAAATAATCATACCTAGAGTTATAGAACTCCAATTGACGTGATCTTTGGCTATTTATGAACCTTATGACTTTAGTTATCTGAAAACACAAATATGAAACTGGACTTTACATGTGTCATTTAATACATTCTGGTCATTTGGCCAAAATGCTCTGCTTTGTCTACTAGATTTTTTTTTTCTAGATTTCATGCCATCGACTTGAAAATTCTTATCTTGGGCCTTACTTATCCAAATTTGGCAATCCAGGACTTATTATAAAGCCCTAGGTGTGTCTTATATGATAAAAACATATCCACATGACTTTTGCTTCCCCATTTAATACAGTATAATGAATTTTCAACACTGTTCTGTTCCTAATCATACTGAATCCAGACTTCACTGTCCTCTCTTGCAAAATTCATAACTTAAATTCTAGAATTCCAAAAAGCATATTTCCAAGTTCATATTAAACTTTAACTCGTCTAGTTTGATTATAAAAATGTTCATGAACTTTGGATGCCCCGGTTGATGAAGGTTTCGAGTTAAATGTTGCTCCCTATTCTGGCACCAATCTTTTCTCATATTTCTGGACTTGTATGTTTGAAGAATCATATCTTAAAGTTATACTGATCCAAACAAAGTGATCTTAGTGTCAGTTTGAAGCTTTAAATATTTTCTAACCATGGACAAAATTTCATGGTTTTCAGCTTCAACACCAACATGTAAATGACTACTATGCAATCATACCCACTAACAACATTCACACAGTCATTTATTTACTAGCTGGTAGACTTTTCATGTTTTGAGTAATTACATACAACGAAAATAAAACAACTTTGACTTTGAAACACTAATTAACAATTTCCACAGCAAATTCCAGCAACCTTGTAGTCCCATATATATTTACATGCACTCGTGAAAATTTATACAAATTTAGCACAATTTCCATGGAATCAAGCTTCATAAATTGTCTTGCCTTTGTCTTTGCTTGAGCTAGATTCTTGCATGGTTAATAAATTTTTGGAGGGTGAGATTATAATAATCTCAGTCACAAAACTTACATTTACTTATGATGTACATGGCCAACTCAAATAAATTAACATGCCTTGTGAGCACAATCACCATAATCATGGTAAAAGAGTCATGAAGAAGAACATTCATCATGTTGAATCTTGAGTTCAATTATGCTTAGGCTTTCATTAGGAAAACTCGCTCTTTCAAAAACAATCAAAGCACATAGTCACATATAGATATCAACACTTACTCAAGCAACCAATACATCTTTGTAAAATGGAATGGCTTGTGAAAATAATACCACTAAACTAAAGTTTATTTCTTGTTTCATTGTCTTGTCACTTATTCCCACTGCAATCTTTGTTTAATAAGATGCTGCCACCTAATATAATTATCAATTTGCTCTAGTTCTACCAAACTGGTTAATGGTTAAGGGCAACCAAGTGGCTATCCACCATACCACAATTATTTTTCGGTCATCATCATTATCGTGATTTCACTCACTTCTTTCTAATTTCTTTTGTTTTTTTTTTTGGTGAATCACTTCTTTCTAATTTCTAGAGGTTCACTTAATACTTTAAATTTCAATTTGCAATTCAAGTATTAAACTTAGTCATGTAATTTACATAATTCACTCATTCCCCTTTTACTTAGTTCATAATTTGACATTCAATTTCCCATTATTGATTAACTTGATATTTTTAGATTCTCAAAATCATTTAAGTTATAAGTGTGAAATATATGTGTTTAATTAATTTTATCTCATCCTGGGTTAATTCTTTTTCTTCAAATGAATACATAATAAATTCTAATTACCATGAAATAAATTAATTAAATTTAAATAAATATTAACACCTTTATTTTTTCACTTTCCTTCTTAAAACATTATTTTGATGCCTAAGGAATATAACTTGAACTAATTTATTATGATTAATGTTCTCCCTAATTCACCCAATAACTTTGGGTGTAACTTAGTAAGAATCTTTACAAATTGGTCCTTGTTAGTTTTAACTTTCTTTTTCTTAATTTTCTTTTATATTCTTAGCCATCACTTAACTTTACAGAGAATTTCCTGTATGTGTTCCCGCTTATCATATTTATAATCCAATAAATCATATATAATAAATGGATACAAGTAAATTTTCTAGATTATAAGGATTTTTTTTTATTTTCGCATTTACTTACCTTGAGTGTAGAAAGGGACATTTAAATTGGTTAACATTGATTATCAACACCAGTTTGAAAACAATAGTATACTAACTAAAATTCCTTTTTTATGCTTATAATCACCCGAGTCTAACTTGCGGGATGTTACAAAACTTATAATAAAAAATTAATAATGTAATTTATAAATAGGATAAAAAATCCTTTTCTGTCTATCTTACAAATAAAATTGAAGGAAGTAATAAGACTAATGAAACTTTAGGAAGTTATAATAGACTAATGAAACTTGAGGAATGCTTGCTTTAGTAGTAATCCTAATATGGATAGGAGATTGCCACCATAATTAAAAATAATATTATTTCACCCCAAAAAATGTATTATTAATAAATAAACACATCCTATTATCAAAAATAAAAAATAATAATAAATACAAGCAACCCTGAGCAAACTATAACCATAGGTATCTTTTTTGGACCCTCCTCTTGTTGAAGAAAGTTTAATATATAAATAGCAAGATACTGAAAATTCAATCAATCATTAAATCAATTAAGCTATTAATTCAAGAGTTAATAGTCAAAATTATATGAAATTAATCAAGATATTGATTTAACAATTTAACGATTCAATTGGACAGGTTGACGTAGATTTTTATATTATGATAAATAACAAAAGATTTAAACATTGAGTGGTTAGTGGGGATTTATAATAAATTGTCAGGGTGAAACATTTCTTTGTCTTTCTTTTTTCTTTCACTTGTTTTTTAGTACAAGTGTACATTTGTCATTTGGTCATCTAATTTTAAGTAGATTTCTTTTTAATCTTTTAATTTCATTATATTTCATGTTAGTCCTTTAGCTTTTCTAACACTTAACACCATTGAGCAAGATGACAAATGTTAAGGGTTAAATCTCTTTTATTAAAACTCGAGAAGTACTAGTTATCTTAAATTATTCATTAAAGCAATATTGCTTATTGAGTGTTAAAATTACTGCATTGTTGCCTCTTGACTATAGACACTAATATGGACCGTTAACTTTATATTTACTTTGGATTATAGAACATCTTTTATGGCTAAAATATTCATGAGGAATAACTGGCACCTTTAAATTACATTGGACTTATATAAATATTATCACAAAGAAAAATTATATAGGATAAAAGGGCCCATTCTATTTGGGCCGAGTTTACTTTTTAGTTCTTGACATGAAGGTCGGGCTTCTAAAATTTGGCCCATTTTAAAAAAGAGCTTCCTAACTCGACCAATGACATTTACTCAGTTCTTCAAAGATTAGCTCATAAAGATTTGCTCAACCTTTAATATTGCTTGCTCTGTTTCTTATACTTTTTTTAATACAAATGTATGATATTTAAGATTTTCAAATTATTAGATTCACGTGTCAGGCTTAGTAAAAGTAGCCCTCCTGATGATTCCCCCCCCCCCTCATTTACAAGTTCAAACCCTCAACCTTGATTAAAGAAAATCAAGTCTCTTTTACTCTATTGAACCACATGATTGGTGGCTTTACTTATACCTTCATAACATATAGTGTGTCTAAAACTCAAATTATATCTAAGAACTTAAATTTAACTGAAATAAATTTGCAATAAATTTTGAAAATTTAAGTATATTCAAGGATCTAATAATATTATTTGATTACTATTAAAATTTTAGTACTTATCTTTTTAAATAATTTTAACAATTATTTTTAAAATTATTTCACAAAAATAATTATTTAAAATTTAGATGATGAATTAATTTTCCTTATTTATTATTCTTGAGAGTGAAACCAAGCGTTGAATTTCAATAAATTTTTTTATATATTTTGTGAGGTTATGTAAGTGTGAATAGACTATAGCTAAAATAGGAAGTCTCACAATTAAAAAAAAAATAAGAAGTCTCGCATTGAATAAAGTTGGGCTTAATAACCAATATAAAATAAAAAAAAAAGTGCATTGAACTTAAGTCTTTAAAATTTTAAGTTAAAATATGGTGTTTTTTGCTACTCTTTACCCATTTCTCCTCTTTCTTTGTTTATGAGCAGATGTCATCTCTCTATTTCTTACAAGTGATATCAGATCCTACTTTTCTTCCCTTATTTTCGAGTTGTCGCTTCTAATTCCTAATACCTTTTATTATTAATTAGCACACTTTATTAAAAATTTTGATTATTTTTAGTT